AAGTCGTTTTCCCTTCGATAATATACTTTCTGACTTATGTGCGCGCATACTTACACGTGTTTGTATTTTTGTGCCTCAGTATTACCGCATTTAATTTCTCATTTAAAATCAATTAAAGTTTCTTTCTTTTCAACAACTTTCAAATCTGTGTTCGTCTTTCTATGTGCTTTTTTTATTTTTATTAATTTCCTCATTGTCTGCGAAAACGCTTCAGTTTCGCCTTAGCCGCGGCAAACTCAAGCTCTGCAATCGTCCTAAGCTATCAAGATCTGTAATTATGTTCGTATTTAGTATTTAATAAGACAGCAGTCAACAAATAAATACAGGGGAAGACCATTGCATTGCGAAAAGCGAAATAAAACATGGTAAATTATTTTAATAACTTTCATTGATTCTTTAAAATCATTATGGCACGTAATGCCTTTATGCCTTTATGAATAACCCATTTTTGAAATAAACTTATCTGACTTTTGCCAAGAAAAGGAAACAATCTTTTAATGCAGAACGAGAAGAAGAAGGCAGCTTCTTTGTTATGAAACATTGATTATTTATTACTCAAAGGTTATGAAAGTTGTCAGAGGAATCGTTTTTGAAAGCCCAAGATAAGTTGCTTATTACAATTAGTCTTGATGGGAATTGATGGGAATTTTTTTAATTGATTTTTAGAATTGAAATGCAATGTGCAACTATTTTAGGATATTCCCCAATGGCATGTTGAGAAACACTTATCCAGCCTTTTAAAATGTGCTGAACGTGAAGAAACGTGACGTTATATATTGGACAGCTTAGAAACAATTAAGTTCTTTTTTTTTGCCTGCATGTTTGTTTTACTAACCGAAATAAATTGCTTGGACTAAAATGGTTTCCTCTTACGTTGCGCTTAGACAACAGTTTAGAATCGAATTGGCCAATTGCCTAATTTGTGTGCATGAACAAACAGATTACCAATAAGTTTGTCTGCCAATAATTACCCTCAATGGCAATTGACTGCCAAACGAGTCAATTCCATCCAGTTGTCCCAGAGCTATAGACACCGTCAGACCCATTTGGGATGTTACCCGCCGACAAGACCTGGTCGCTTCTTTTGAACATCATCAGTAAGTGTATTACGCACGCCTGTGTAACTCGAGCTGAGCAGGTTGTTTGTGTTCAGTTCAGAGATATTTGCATGGCAGTACGATTTGTGTTCTGTGGCACGATTAGTACGAGTTTCAACCCCAGGACCTAGCTGCCGAGTACTCTAGCTTTATAGACATCAACATTGCCACTCTGGCTGGCAGCTTTGAGGACAATGTGGTCGATGCAGCAACCAAAAGGCAGCAGCTAAAGGAGCGAGACTTGGTCTATGATGATTTGCTGCTCAAGCTCACATTATCCATTGAAATATCACACTGTGAGGTAGGAACTTTGTCAAAGTCGCATTGGAATCATTTACTCCACAAGAGTTGTTTCTATTTGACAGAGTTTCCTTGTCTTTGGTGAACACATACCCCGCTTTGTGGCCGCCTTCACACAGGCAGCCATGTATTCTATTTGGCGCTCGTTGCACAACAAATTCGTATTTGCCCATGTGGCACAGGATTTGGAGGAGGCATGCTGTCGAGACTTCTTTTTCCAGGGTAATTGACTCGAGACAGGACTGATATAAGTCCTAATAATAAGTATAATGGGAATAAGTCCAATATTTTCAGACCAGCCCAACATACTTTTTGTGGTGCGCAGTTATGCGAATGCGACTGACTTTGAGCTGAAAACCAACAAGTATGTGGGACCCAGATCGGAACGACCGGATCAGCTGGAGCTGCTGGATCGTTACGATGCGATGGAGAAGCGATTTCAGCATAACGTCTCGCTATTTCCCGACAAATTGAGAGACCTGCAGGGACGTGAACTGATCATCAATGGCTTTGACTACAGGCCCTACACGGTCATCAAATATGTAAGTATACTGACAGGCGACAGTGTTGAACTAATGGACTTTCGATTGTGCAGGGCAGCCAGAGCAATGCGCGCGATATTGGAGTGCCCGACGACTCGGAACTATCTAGAGTGTACATCGATGGAACAGAGACGCGTGTAGTTCTCAGCTTTTGCGCCCAATTCAATTGTACGGTGCATATAGACACATGTAAGTACCACGCCCACTCAGGGTCCTAGTCTAATATATTTTGTACCTAGCTGACGCCGACGACTGGGGCACCATCTACCCGAACATGACGGGAGACGGGTCTTTGGGCATGATTATCGGGCATAAGGCCGACATTTGCATTGGCGCAATGTACTCGTGGTACGACGATTACACCTACTTGGACTTATCCATGTATCTAGCGCGCTCTGGCGTAACATGTCTAGTGCCTGCGCCACTGCGTCTGGCCAGCTGGTATTTGCCCCTGCAGCCGTTTCAGGGTACACTCTGGGCCGCCGTACTGTTTTGCTTGGGCATCGAGACGCTGGGCCTGGTGCTGGCGCACAGGAGAGAGCAGGATCTGTACGCTTCCACAGATCCAAAGGACGGCTGGTGGCACAGCGCGAAGTTTGGACTGGTCACCACCTTCAAGCTGTTCATATCGCAGTCGGGCAACAGTAATGCGCGCTCCGTAACAGTGCGCGTGCTGCTCTTCGCTTGCTTTCTCAACGACATCATCATTACGAGCATCTACGGAGGCGGTCTGGCCAGCATATTGACCATACCTAGCCTAGGGGAGCCCGCCGACACGATGCAGCGTATGCGTAACCAAAAACTCCAATGGGCAGGCAACTCAGAAGCGTGGGTATCATCGATTCGTGGCTCTGATGATGTAAATATCAACTCTGCAAATTAACCTCATGAACCCCAAATAGCTGTTGATCCTTTCCAGCCGCTAGTTCACGAGCTCCTGAGCAACTTTCACATCTACACCGATGACCAATTACTCGACTTGGCGCAGCGGGAGCGCATGGGATTCACCGTGGAGCGTCTGCCTTTCGGTATGCAGCTGCTTCCTCTTTTTCACACACATTCACATGCCAACTGTCCTTTCCTTAGGTCACTTTGCCATTGGCGATTACCTGACCGGGCAGGCCATTGAGCGCATGGTTATTATGCAGGAGGATCTCTACTATCAGTACACTGTGGCTTTCGTGCCACGTCTGTGGCCGCTGCTCGAGCGTTTCAATGAGCTGGTCTATCGTTGGCATTCGTCCGGGTTCGACAAGTACTGGGAGTACCGTGTGGTGGCCGACAATCTCAATGTCCAGATACAGCAGCAGGTGGAGAGCACCATGTTAGGCGGCGGTCAGGAGGACATAAACATTGAGCCGGTCACACTGGCCATGTCCAACTTTGCGGGAATTTTGTTGGTTTGGGTCTTGGGCGTCACCGTGGCTTTAATGGCATTCGTAGCCGAATTGATGGCAACCAAGTTCAAAAGACAGCGAATCATGAGGTTCTAACGAATGTATCCGAGCAGCCCAAAACCGCATCTATTGCGAAACCCTTTTGCGCAATCTTTTGCAAGAGATTTCACTTTATGTAGCTCAACACAGGTATATCATGAGGCACCGCTGATCTAAGACAGTGTCAAGCGGCGCAATGGTTTATTTTATGGTAGTTTCACTGAGCGACGCGCCATATTCAAAAGGCCGACGCGCGACGATCTTCAGAGATGTTGCCGACCAGATGTTGCGGTAGACCCAGCGACATGCGGAAGTCTCGTGAAAGTTCTCAGACTCTGGCGATTTATGCACTCAAAAAACTATAATATATTTCTTTTACTTCACCGAGCTTTAATGGCATAGATGAGGTACGTGTTTGCAAATAAAGCGAGATGGGCTAACTTCGGCATGCCGAAGATTTAATACCCTTGCAGACGAAACCTTTTCTATCTAAGAAGCACAGGGTAAATAGTTAATGCCGAGCATGGTTAAGATATCTTGATAAACAAAAAAGTTTTCCATGCAAGAACCTACTTTTCAACCGATCGTTCCTATGCCAGCTATATGACAGTTATCCGAGGCAAATAAAATTTTGCATAAATGTCGGAAACATAGTGAAACTTATAAATTGCGTTTGGTCAAGATATCTTAAAAGACAGAAAAGATTTCCATACAAGAACCTACTTTTTGACCGATCGTTCCTATGGCAGCTATATGATATGGTGATCCGATCCAGCCGGTTCCAACATATGTATTCAATATCGATTCGGCTGTTGTTACTGATCAAGAATATATATACTTTATGGGGTCGGAGATGTCTCCTTCTATGCGTTGCACATTTCGAGACAAAATTCTGATACTCTCTGTAAGAGTAGAAAAAGTGACTAGATACAGATTATTGCCTGCGTATCTGGCAGATACGTTTTAGTCACACCACACAGGTGCAATGAACTCTTGGCCTCCTCAGCATACCACCATGGTAGAAGTAGGCAGCTCGGATTCGCCAGTAGCCTCTCGACGGGTGTGAAATTTCGGCAAGGCCTGACTTGGCTTGAGTGCCCGGCTGCCCGGTCGCCCGGTGGCCTGCATGTTCATGACCATGTCATTGTTGTGAAGTGACGACGTGTGTTGGAAATTCTCGGCTGGAGAGGCGTGCACGAAACATCGGAGACTGAGGGACTAATTGGCTGTGCATTTGGCTTTCGGCTCTTGGCTGACTTGATCTTGATTGGCATTCACAACGTGTTGCAGTTTATGGTTTGTTTGTTGTTTTGCTCTTTTGTTTTTAGAAATTTGTCGAAAGATTTGAATTCGGATTTGCACTTGGAGCTGCCGCCACTTATAGTGAAAGTGAAATGCACTTGCATATTCATTAAAACAGTAGTCAATACATTTATCGAATAAAGCTGGAAAACATTCGTTTTATTTATTAACATCAATTCTTGGGGTTACTAAATTAACCAGCTGCGTGTGCAAGTTTATCTGTGACCAGACAAACCTCTCCTCAAGCACTTTAAAATGTGACTCATTGTTAAACATTTGCCGATATTAGACTTGGCACTCACCTATAAAAGGCAGGTGGTTCTCCTTAGACCCATCAGTACATGGAATTGTGTTATTTAGCAATCGTCTAAACAAATAAATAAAATCAAAAATGTTACGTATCTGCTTCTTCGTACTGATGATGTTGCTGCTTTCGGACGCCCTTGGCTGGACCATGGATGAAATAGTAAACCATATAGGTAAGCGTGTGTTAATAATTAATAGCCAGGACCCCAGTGATCCCCATCCCTTACAGCCTTTTGCAGTCAACTTCCCGCATACGGACGCTGCAGTAACCACATGCGGATGTGGTACTACAGCCGTCAGCACAGGTCCTGCAGACCCTTTGACTACTCCACCTGCGGCGGCAACACGAATCGCTTCTTTACGAAGGCCGAGTGCGAGCAACATTGTGTATGTATTCGTGGTCGTTGAGTTCAATGAACAAGAATATCACACAAATCTATTTAATTTCAGTAACTATTCAAATTCGAAGGACACTGCCCGAGCCTGACCTTAGCCGAGTTCCACGTCATTTACATCTAAGCAATTGGGTTATTATTATATTTAAATGTAATATATGCACTCATCATATACTATGTATGCATATTGGCGAATTCACTTCATTTAAATCAAAAAAAAAAAAAAAACAAGAGTGCTTTATGCAAGATACCTTGCATATAGTTCCCCAAATTAATTGTTATTTAAAATTAAAGTCAGTTAAAACAAGTTTTTTACAGATTTAAATATAAATATAAATATAAATATAAATATAAATATAAATATAAATATAAATATAAATATAAATATAAATATAAATATAAATATAAATATAAATATAAATATAAATATAAATATAAATATAAATATAAATATAAATATAAATATAAATATAAATATAAATATAAATATAAATATAAATATAAATATAAATATAAATATAAATATAAATATAAATATAAATATAAATATAAATATAAATATAAATATAAATATAAATATAAATATAAATATAAATATAAATATAAATATAAATATAAATATAAATATAAATATAAATATAAATATAAATATAAATATAAATATAAATATAAATAAAAATAAAAATATAATAAAATATTCTGTCTGGATCAGATCATTTGCACGAAACCATTATACCCCTTGTTGCCCATTTGCAATGGGTATAGTGCATAAAAAGTACATTAAGAGCTGAGAAAATGTGACAAGTGGGTTGACTGGGCGACGACGGGCCCTCACAAGTTCAGTGCGCTGTATGCAAATGTGTTTTTTTCACAATAATTAATAATAGTAAGTAGAAGGCAATAGTGCAACACCCATTGAAAGGGGCGCATTGTGTGACAGAGCTACTTTCCGAGCTCGACTGCGGGCAGGCCGAGACGGCGAAAAGGCCCTCGCATTGCAGCCACATTTGGAAGCCCGTAGATTCCGTGCCACAAGTTCGCGGCTTGCCACCGGCTGTTGCCTGCTGCCTGCTGCACTTACTTAACCTTACGTGCGTTGCTTTGACAATGCTAGCAATAAAAATATTTCACTTTGCACAACGCGACGCGACGCGACGCGGCGACACATTCAATTGGCGTCGTCTCATAATTGTTTAATATCTCGCATATTGTGTATGCGTGCATGGATGGATGTGTAAACAAATGTGAAAGTGAAAGAGCGCGCATAGCTTATGCACGGGCCTAATAAACAGACGATTAATTATTTAATTATGGAAAAGCTTCGATTGCAACAATCACAGTAAGAGACGCAAAGGCAACTGGGAAGCCAGCCGAAAGAAGGGAGATACCCCTCCATGCCGCATCATTCTCCCATTTTCGGCCAAGACAGCCGTGTTCATCTCCTCGTTGAGCGACATGCCGCATTATTGCATTCGATTTAAACTGATAAAAAACAGAAAACAATTAGAAACTGATTGCACGTAAAGACTTTCGATTGTTTGCTTGACTAATCGACAGGCCAAAGAGGTTGCTTAATGGCCACCTGTGCAGGTGAAATCGCAGCAGCCTCCTCGCCACAATACACATGGAGCAAAAACCTGGCCCCATATGCCAAAATGTTTTGCAAACACCCGTGAATATATGTTGAAGCTAATGGTATACTACTTGCAAATGCCTTTCTTACCCACATGTTGATCGCAGTGCATTAAGGCCTACCAAATACTCTCATGCCTCACAAACAAAGCTGCAAGAACGGGTCGCTGGAGCAACACGAATACTCTGTGTTAAAAAACCTAAACAGTGTCAGTGAAAAATTGGAGACAATAGCTCGACTTGGACATCAATCATGTCGACAGCTGCTGCAGATCGCAGTTGCCACAGGCCGCCGTCTGTCAGTCTAATTCATATGGCAAAAACTGCATTTTAGCAGAAAGCAAAAACTTGCCTGCAACCTTTACACATTTCGTCGCAACATGAGCCACGCATTAAAGCAGCACTTCTTCTCTGATATATATGGACAAAAGAGTTCCCCAAGCACCCGTCTATTCAAATCTGAAAGATTTAATGCTCTTCTGTTCAGGTATTGCACGAACCTATTTCAAATAACAAGCGACGACAAGCTTGACCCAAAGCCCATCGTCCCACTTTTTGTGAATGAGGGTTGGTTAGGGATAAAAAGACTTTAGTTTATGGTTCGTTAAAAAATAGATCTAAAAAAATATGTTAATATTCGAAAATGCAAATTCACAGCACAAAATATTGGTTTCAATCAAATTCCTTGAGTCGTTTATGGAATCATAATATTGGATTTAACATAAGGCAACTTATTTCAAGCAGTGTTTAAAATTTCTTTAAACAATTTCAAATCTTTTTGAATTAGAATTAAAATCGTTTCACTTAAATACTTAATTCTTTTCATCAATTAAGTACTTTAAAATATATAAAACTGCTATTTGAAGCGTCATAGCTCAATGAAATTTATGAAAATTCCTGTAATACCATCCGCTAGAACGGAATTCTTTTAACATTTCGGTGTGAATGTAATAATAAAGCGATTTCATAAGTGAGAATGTATATACTGAGAAAAATTAAATAAAATTAACTATATTTCATAGCCTTCATTCAAAGAATTAGAATGCTTTCATTTAACTTTAACTAAACGAGAAAGAACGGACGTGTTCAGCACGCAAAAGATTATATACTCTTTTAGAGATATATAAGGAGACTAGAGAAGCAATTGCTGAGGTTAGTAAAGATATCTTGACAAACACAACATTTCTCCATACAAAATCTCATTTTTTAACGGCTTTTCGTATGGAGTTATATGTTATAGCAGTCTAATCTTAAAAATGTTGATAACTCCTTTGAAATTTCACAAACTATTTTAAGAGTAATCTTTAAAGCATATGAACAATTTGTTAAAACGAACATTTGTGTTTAATTTTCAAATTGTTACTTAAATTAAATTTCTACATCGAGAAGCACTCAATGCAACTTTATTCCAATTGTTGTTTAAGGGTTTCTCAAAGAAAAAGAGCACATTTTTTTATAATAGGAGTTAATCTACATCTCCTTCAGTAGAGCTAGAGCTAGAGAGATCAAAATTCGCAATGATTATTATTATTAATGATTATTGATCAGTAGACTGACCGGAGAGTATTTTACCTACGCCCAGTAAGAGGGAGAGGGTATGAATATATATATCTTTTGGTCTCCATTTGTATTGCTGAATAAGAAATCTGTAAGCGAATCACAGAACAGCAGGGCATTGGCCATTTATGGCCAGGCTTCTGAATGCCAAGTGAAAAGTGATCAGAGGAAATTGAAGGCAACGGGAATGCGCAGAGTTAACAGTAATTCGAACGAGATACTTAGAAAATGCTTTGCATTTATGAAAATTACTTTGTATACTGTTTTTATTTTCAATGCGCGATTGCAAATTTCTTTTTCCTGGATCTCTCGCTGCCCAGCGGAAATATTTAATATGCCATTGTAACCTTTTGTGCAGCCCGTCACAAGTGCAGTTAAAACCGAATGAACAGAAAAACTTTATTCTATGATCATGGCCGAGCGCATTAAACAGACTTTCCGCATATATTGACTATCTTTTCCGCGCTGTCTGCAACTCATACACTTCAGTGGTTCGATCGAGTAGTCCAATTAAATCAGAAGTGGACGTGAAATCAGTGCAGATAGAAAGTGATCACGGGGAATACTTAATGCAAACTCTAATCAATATATAACAGAAACTAGCATCCGTCAGTGGAGATAAGTTAATCTACTACTTACTAGAAACTTAGTACTCTTCGTAATCTTTACGCTCCGAGGGGAAACACTTTTGCTAATCATTTAAGGTAACTATTTTAAAGCAGACCTAATGGTAAACGACACTCGGCATTCATCTCAATTATGCGCTGTCTGCACAAATTTGGCTCGGACCTGGCGCACAGAAGGTAATTATAAAATTTCGGAACCATTTGGAGCTCATACGACTTTTGATGGGCCCCTTGTGGATAGTTAGCGCAGCTTGCCCCGAGCTGTGGGTCGGCGTTGTCTCCGTGGTAATCTACGATTTGTGCGGCCAGCAAAAGTGAAACTTGCGGTTGGCATTTGTCTTATCACATGCCAGGTAAACCGTCTCGGCTTTGTCTTGCCGTGGGCTTTTGTTGGGCTGGTTTATGGCGTCGGTGCAACAATTGGCCCCAGCCGCGGGCCTGAATCTTTTGTACAGATAATAAGAGCATCGTGTGAATTTTGCACAATGAACTTGAAATTTGTACAACAAATCAAAAGGCAACAAGTAAGAGTGCTCTAGTCGGGCGTGCTTGGCTTTTAAATGCCCTACATTCACTGAAATACCCATTTGTGCTCACATATGCAGGTATAATCCCGCCGATTTAGTCTTTCCTCTGGGTTACATTAATGAAAACCCTTTTTCGAATGCCCCTTATCTTCTTTCTTATATAAATAGTTTTAAGCCTTGCACCAATTTTGAATATACCCTTTATTTTTGAATTGTTAATGGGTAAGCGGCGCAAAAAGAAAACTTTAAGGCGGTTCATTGTTTAATTAGGAATCTTTTGCTTTTCGCGCGCATTTTAAATGCAAATAAAAACGCATCGCATATTCAGTGGTTCGGTGGTTAATAAGCCACTGTTGCATCGCTTATCTTCAAGTCTCAGCTGCTTTTTTTTATATGCTTTACCCACAAAAAAGTCACCCTACTCCCTGTACAAGAGCCTAATTGAGTTGTGCATTTGTATGTACCTCAAACTACTAAAATATATTTCTTGATCTGATTCATAATAGAAAAAAGGTGCGTAAAGCGCAAGTATTTTATTATGAAATCTCCTATTAATTCAATAGGTTTGTAGATCAAAATATTTAAATCAACTACAAGCCGCTACCAATATGTAGACTCCTTTTGGTTCACGAATAAGTATATAGGTATATGTACATATATATATATATCATAATCTTCGTTTGCATTTAGTTCAATACTAGTTCTTGCTTGGTCAATTACTAAGTATATACATAATTTAGTCAAGATATTGTTAACAACAACAAAGTTCTTCACACAAGGAACTTAATTTGCGACTGATGTAAAAATGTTAAAATATTTGTGCCTATATGTAAAGAGCATAAAGAAACTTAAAGATGCCAAACTTGTTGATTAAGGACTCATTTTAAATTTCATTATATCTCAGATTCGAATCTGTCTAGGTTAAAATTGGACAAAAACAAGATATATATAGAACATATATATATATATATATATATATATGACTTATTTGTATTATTATTTTTAAAATGTTAAATGAAATTAAAATATAATACTTAGATTACCTTGAAAAGGGCTAAACAAAACGCTCAACTTAAAAATCATTTTAAAAGTTTACAACAAAAAAAAATTATTTTCTTTGAAAAGACAAAAGAAAAGTTTACGTCTGTGGCAGAGTGTTATTAAAGTGGGCGGACTCGTCACGCAATAAATGGAAAGAGGCGACTGATCATAGCATACAAAAAAAGAATACTTTTCTCGACAACTGTAGATGCACACTTACCTTATTTGGTTTACGGCGCAGCAAATGGGGCGCACCACCTGGTGGCTGCAGCGGCACGGCCGGTTCTGGGGTTACCTGCTGCACTGGACGCGGTGGTTTCAGCGCCAGCTTCTTGAGGCTCGCAATGCGCTTGTCGCACATCAAAGAGACATCATCAATGCGCTGCAGAACCTGCAAAATACAAAGTTTAAGATTATTAACAAATTTAACTCCAACAGATACGACTTCTATATGTGCTTGCAGGCAAGTATTGCCTTTGAGCGAGATCAGTTTGTTTTTCTCCAAATTTTAGACATCGGGGCAAACAATTTATACATATAGATGTAGGTTAAGAGTTTAATGCTGCTTTGCATCAAAGTTTTTTATTAGTTTCTGTTTTAATGTACTCAATATTTCGTGCGACTAAGCCACATTTCGAAAGTCGCATGATCTACATACAGCCTATCAAAGAAATGATCAACTTATTGACCGAACATGGAACTTTAAGCCGACTATTGTCATTCACTCAAATACACATTTATGCCATAAAAACTGTTTTGTTCCTAACGAGCAGATTTTCTGATATTCTTCAACGACTTTACTCTCAATTTTAGACAGCTCGTATTGTTCGCGTTGAGCGACATGAACTGAGTCAAGTTCTTAGAGAGACGATTGCAAAGAGAAAGTGTAAAGCTGTGCAACGAGAAGAAGAGATATTGATATTTTGTAGAAGAAGGGCCATCTTCAGGGTGTCAACCGTACGGTAAAAGTCTAAGGCATTACGTAATAGTAAAACAATAGGCGAGGATGTTTTCTGTTTAGGCATAATTTACAAACGTAGAAACTCCTTTAATGTAAACTAAAATTGAATTAACCTGAAAAATAATACACATCAACTTCCCCAACTCGTATGGTATAATTAAATATGCCTCAAGATTTTATGCAAAATGACAAGGTGTGTTTTAATGCAGGAAAATTTTGCGGTACTCTCATGTGATTTCTGCTGGCAAAAAATAAAAGAGCAGGAAAGAAAAGAGTATTTCGCCCAGTTGAGACCCTTTGCAGTGGACACCGAAAACGCAGTAGTTTCTCTAAAGATGTCTCTATCCCTTGTATAGCGGCCGAGTCAACCCAACAATGTACTCCAAGAGAACCTACCTCCTAAATTTAGTATCTGTTGATCATATAGTACCCGAGATATGCTCAAGAAACCCAATCCTAAAATCGATATTTGTCGATTCCGTGTAATTGGAATGTGCTAAGGATCATTTGAAATAAACATGATCGCCGGCCAAAAGGAGAGTCTACGTTCCGAAGTCTAACATCTATAGTCTGAAATCGAAGCACGTAAATAGCGCAATCGTCACATTAAGATTAAGATCGCATCACGAAGATGCTTTCTTCTGCATTTAACATATAGCAAAAACACCACAAAACCCATTTTATCACCACATTTTCAGTGGGTTGAGGCTATTAAAATATCGAATTGCTTAAGTAATTTTTCTAATTATTTAAAAAATTATTATTTTTAGTTTCCGATAAAATGCTAACGATTTTTGGAGGTACTCTTGAAATATATAAATATAACAAAAAGAAATCTTTCATATAAAATAGGATTCGATTGGAATTTGAAATATGATTCAAGTTAAATTCTGATCGCTAGCGAATTTAAGTTAATCGTAGTTTATTTATCCTTGGGTCTTATCAATAGAAGGTGGCTGAAGACCTTCACAAAGACGGGGATCAGCTATTCGTTTATAAGTGTAAGCGAATTGTTTTCGAAAGGCTTTGGGATGTGCAGGCTGCTTGCCTAGCCGCATGCTCGATACATCTATCGATGGCTGCCAATTGCATAAGTGAATTGCGCCTGGAGGGCAACAGGCATTTGGCGAGGTCATGACCTATGACATTTTACATAATCGTCGCCGACAGTTCAATTGCCACTTTCTCTTTCGTTTCCGACGCGTCGAAGTCTGCGCTGTTGTTGTCGGGCTTATTGTCAACATGACTTTGGCGCATCTTCAGCGTGCCACAGCCAGGCGGCAGGCTGTGGTGTGGCAGGCGGCAGGCTGTGGTGTGGCAGCTAGTGACCAGTTATGTGGGTTTCTGCGAAAGTCCGTTCAACATGTGCAGCTGATCAAATAATATGTTGCAGCTGCCGATGCGCTAACCAAACAAACATTTTGTAATGTACTAAAATGTTTTTTTATCTGACCCATGCTTCCATAAATTGTTGCTGGCTACTTTCAGGGTTGTCGAGTGCACTTTTAATTATTTACATATTGGTAAAAGAAAATCATCTTCGGATGAAATAAAAACAAAATATACTTTATGTTTTACTCCAATAACAATAAGTAAGATCATGTTTACAAAATCCTTTGTAGCCTTCAGTCAATATAATAAAATATATCAATAAGAATTCCAAAATACTTTGGATGAATTTATTTATGGATAGATTTATGCACAACACACACTCTTGGGCGGATAATTGTGCGACTTATGCAGATTTTTTTTTTTTTTATTTTGCAGGGAATTATTTTCGGAATTAATTAAGAATAAAGCCATTCTAGAATAAAGTGCCTCCGGGTACTCTCCGCTATTTGATTTGATTGTCTAAAGTTAAACTGGAAAAACTTCCAGTTTTCTACATATGTATCTATTTTCATTTGGAATACAGGCAACTCTGGCTCAACTGGGCACTTACCAGCTCAGCGCACGACCAGTTATCTTAGCAATTTCCATTGACCTTTACAGGAGTCGGCGCCTACGCTCTTAACGACAGTGAATGAACTCGAGTTTGCAGGCATAGAAAATGCATACATATTATTTTATGTTAAATGTATTTTTGGCTTTTGACACTTAGTTATTTTAATGAAGGCAATAACCGATAATGACCAAAAACTCGCAAGTCTTCATCTTGTTGCTTTTTCTGGTTTGTATACTGGTATGCAGGACTTTAAACTTTAAAGGTAATAGCTTTTTCTGCAACATTTATTTATAAAAATTCGTAATAAGGAAATACTGTATTCAGGATTTTGAAGTTCTCTCTCCATTTGATCGAACAGAAATGATGAGCTAGAACATTTTGTTAAATTAAATTATGAAATATTTTAACGTTAATTTTTCAAAAACTATTCAAAATGTAAAATAGACGTAGCTAGAATACACGGATTACCCGTGGCCGTGACCCCAAAGCAGTGACTCTTCAAATGTGATTGTAAAAATTATACATTTTTGCAATCGATTGGATTTTGGTGGGTTTTGCTCATCTTTAAGAGGGTCTCCTCAATAGTCTACCTGTAAAATTTGGTAACCGGCGTTCTACAACTGTAGCGATATCGTTTTCGCGATTCACCCGACCTCAAAAAGGCGCGGAAAATAAAGCGGCCTCTATATTTACCTTCCTGTCATGTTATAGCCAAAATTGTTTGCCAGTTTTTGACAAAATAAATAAAAATATAAAAAAATGACTCGCTTTTAAGTACATGAATACATATTTTACCGGAAAGTAACTAGCATCAATAGCGACAAACAGAATTTTCTAGAAATTTGTACAGATCTATATATTTTTTGACATTTCGCGTACAGACCTTGAAAATTATTTGAATACATGGAAACCAATGAACGATCATATCTATGCTGAATATATTACGAAGAAATTTATAGATCTGGGAATGCGTAAACCTGTCCAGCACATTTACCAACCAATTAAATTAGAAATTTTTGAATTGAGGTGTATCTTTTCCAATAATATTCCCTATTGGAAATGTACATATATTTGTCATCGGCTGGCGATCTACGGCTCATGGGGAAAATTGCACAATAGGAACTCATATGCCATTATTTAAGTTATGATGTAACTGCGATTGAGCAACTCCATTCCATCCACACATCAAGTGATCTAATAGCTGTCGCTTGTATAGATATATAATAAAAAATCTTTTTTTAGCTGCACTCGCAAGGATATCCAGTTCGGTAACTGGTAAAACGTGCGGAGACTGGAATGAAAGCGGTCCAGCGCACAACGCTGAACTGTGTCAAAATCATTAAACATACACGAATGCGGTTGAAATCCAGAAAAATGTAAAAGCAATAAGAATATTGCCGTGGCATTGACCAAACGGGTCTTGCTGACCCATTTCGTGCGTGGCCGCGACATCTTTTTACTGTTTGCTCAAATGAAAAAATGCCTAACCAAAAAAACTGGACTTGCAGTGGGGTTACGAAAATAGGTCACTTTGTATCTTTGGGCCTGGAGCGTGGCCGACACACAAATTAAAAGTCTTCCAAGCAATTTGCTTACTACATGCCTCGATATGCAGCTTTGAAAGATGCTCCCGCAAATGGGGCAGCCCACAATTCTTGATTAGTTTGGGCTTACTAAAATATGCATCTAGTATAGTGAAGTTAATAAGATAAAATAATATACGCCTCATTTAAGAATACTAATATAATAAGTGTAGTTTTGCATATGTATTACATTACATATGGTTAAGAGATTCTTATCATCGAACATTTCGTGTTTGAAGCTATAGTTTATGTTGCATCGCCTCTTTGTATGATATGAAGATCATACATGTTTGAAAGAACCATGTGGAATATGTTCATACATGTTTGAAAGAAATATGTGGAATATGTTCATACATGTTTGAAAGAACCATGTTGAATATGTTCGTTACTAACCAAAAGAGTTTAATACAGAAATGCATTTTAACAGTTCTTCAAAAAGTTGATTATTTGAAGGGGCTACTGCAACCAATTGTCATATTCTATTTGTACACGATATTTAATAACTTTCCTAAAATTCAATATCCATATATATCTTAAGTTCTTCTCTTTTACAATCTAATTAAAGAATTTTAGGGAATCCAATATTAAGGCAAACGGTAAAAGAAATAAGATTCTGTAAGAGGTTAAGTATAAAATTATCAGAATGCTTAAAAGGATATAAACGGTAACAAGCTTGCTTTTCTTAAGATTTCTTCTTATATAGAAAGCCTTACTTGAGTAAACCAAAACATAGCACAAAGTGGAAGAAAGGATAAAAATGTTTTCTATATAAGACTTGGAGCTTAAGAAATAAAATTTGTTCGCATTTTGAATACATTAAATAAATTTACATTCTTCCTGAGAGACTCAATTCTATATGCTGCAACTTCTACCATGAACATGTTTCTGATTCATCTTCGCCCACTTTGGACTCTTCGCTGGCCAGCGTAGCCAGCGACAGAAACCGGTTGATTGATACCATTCGAGGCATTAAATGCGCATTATGCTTGCTGCAACATCGAGAATGCCCCATTCCAATTCCAAGCGCTGTTATCTAACTGTACTCGTACATAGGTAAACTGCAGAAGCAGCAACTAGTTGGAGACAGCAGAACCAGTCTTTGAATTATATCACAATTACATTGCAAGTTATCGAATCGACAACTACGGCTAATGTGGACAGCGATGTCATCGAATGATCGTTCCTTTAGTGAAACATGATATTATTGCGTCAGCCAAAGGTGAGCAGCATTGGGGTCTGTCGAAACGGAAATCTCACTTAACTATTGTTTAAAAGTTGAATTGGGCCAACATTAAGCAGTGGGTGAAGAAACTGGGAACTATTTTATCGGCAATGCCTGATTCGCTAACTAAATGACTGAACGCTGACCAGTGCTGAGTTTGCTGAAATATCTTTGAAAACAGAATATTTGGCCATATACTATCTATATATTATAGATATATTTCTTACTATATAGTTGTCCGATGTGCCAATTTTTCGTACATGTAGGGGGCATAGTAAAACCTTTAAATACCAAGTTTTGGTAAGATATATTGATAAACAAAAAAGTTTTTCCTACGAGAACCTTATTTTCGACCGATCGTTCCTATGGCAGCTATAGGAAATAGTGGTCCGATTCAGCCGTTTCCGACATATGTACTGCATGTCCAGAAAGAGGGATGTATGCAAAGTTTTATGACGATAGTTTTAAAAACTGAGAGACTAGTTCGCATAGAAACAGACAGGCAGACGGACGGACAGACGATTCGGCCGTTCATACTGATCAAGAATATATACATATATAGTTTATGAGGTCGGAGATGACTAATTATATGCGTTACACATTTCGAGACAAAATTATAATACCCTCTGCAAAGTTATAACAACAAAGGAATTGAAATTAATGGCGCTTAACTGAAATAATAATTACCATTTTTCCTTAGTTTTGACTGTTTTGTCAAGAATAGTGTAGATTTTGACAGGGTCAAATCATTCGATTAAGTAGAGTAGTTGGCTAAGAAACATTGAGGTTCATGGATTAAGCCCTTGAGTGGGCGGACAAAGAATTTTTTTTTAAATTCAAATAAGAAAACATACGTTTTTTTTAATTAAGTTCAAACAATGTTTATCGACCCCGGCGTTGACGGGTAATTTCTTCTATTCAATATTCTTATTAAATGAAAAATAAACGAGTTTTCTAATTCATATCAAATTTTCAATCGGATAATTTGCATCATATTCACATTTCAATTCACTTACCTGAGATACAAGTGCTTTGGTCTCTGGGGTCGTGCTATCCAGAAAGATTTTCTTGAATTCACTTGGACTAGATAACTTAAAATCTGAAGCGGATGCGATAAAAGCCTGTATTTCGTGCAGGCTCTGTTCAGCTAGGTCGGCCGAGACCGAACACTGCTCGATCCGCTGAGAGGCCAACAGCTCTACGCCGTTGGCACACCATTGATTAGCCTGCGAAAGTAAGATATTGAAAAGTCAGTAAATATTGTTAATTGAGCTGATTAATTATTCTTTAATCACCTTTTCAACTCTCTCCATAAGTTCGCTGTTCTTGGCCAGTATTTCGAGCCGTTTGCTCAGGCGCATACTGATTATGTCGCAGACGCGCTGCAGTTCGTCGCACTTGGGCTGCACAATCTCCCAAGGATAGACGCCACGGGAGCCGACCAGCTGCTGTCCAGCTTGTATAACCTTCTCAGCTCTCTCTATGTCTGTTTTGATCAGCTCACAAAATGTCTCCGTATCCTGAACAAGTGTCGCAACGCGTTCCACGCTCTCTCCAATCTCAGTCATGTCAGCCACGGTCTTGAGATGCCCATCGAAAATATTCTGCAAATAGGGTCGGTAAGTTTTACTAGTTCAAGTACGTTGCTATTTCTATTAATGACTTACTTGCAGCTCCCGAAAGTCCTGCTCAAACATGCGCAAAAGCAGGCACTGCTCTAGGCGGTTGCGGTGTGTCCGCCAGAACTCGTCGAAACGACGCTCAGTTTCCTCCAGTTGGACCAGCAGTCTACGGTAATCGCGACAATCATCATAATGTTGGGGTTGTTTAAACTTATATTGTTGGTGATAAATAATTTGTTGACGATGTATTGGCTGCCCTGCACTGGATCTGCACACCGATATTTTGGTCGTTATCATTTAAGCACATTCATATTCATTTGGTTCAGTTTTTAATTTATAGAAAGTTGTCATTTCGAAAATGTTTTTTGGAACATTAACGTATGGTAAAACCGAGCGCGCGACAGGGGAGACAAAAGACAAAAGACGGCAACAACTTAATGAGTGTGATGAGCGACATTCCGATGAAAGAAAATTACATCGTGATTTATTTATACATTTTTTGGTATATTAGAAATTTTGTGTGCATAGTCGAAAATTGTTTTGTGAACTGCGTCTGGGTTTTTAATTTCAATGTCAGACCAATTAAGTAAAATAATTAATTGTGTGTAGTATGTATTTTGAATAGCTATTAACTTATTTACTCTACCTTCAAGAACGCTCAAAGTTCCTTATTGCAATATACTAACAAATATTGACGTTAAACATACACATGCATTTTATAAAAATTCTTTAAGGATTAATCGAACTTAATTTTGACTGCTCACAATTTTGTTTTCATGCAAAAATAAAATTTATTATATTAATTTCATTTCTAAATTAACCTCTTTCTATAAATTTCTGGTTTTGAATTATTAGCGAGTTTCCGGCTCTTAGTCCCGAGAGAATGGCCCTATGTCAAGTCAGAACTGAATCTTAATCTCCTTACAGCTATCGCCTTCACAGCAGTCAAATCTATGGCTTAGCCTTTTCCTTTTCAAAGGACTATTCTAGTTAAAAATGATTGGAAATTTGAATCTGATGATCAAGGCTTGGAAATTTAAGACCTGCCCAGTATAGTTAATACTAATAACAATCCTACTTTAAACTTAAGCCCTTTCTTGTCATACAAATATTTTTATTCAAATAGGTTTGCATTAATCTATCCAATTAAATTAGACGATTCATACTCATAAGAGATATACGGATACTCATTTAACCACAACTATTAACCATAAATATATGTTTCTATCAATTTATGATGTAGACTATTTATAAACTTCTTCCAAATGGCACGCTATTCAATTTCAAATTATTAATTCGGACATATATAGATATGTATCTTCTCTGACCAGTTATCAATAGCCAATTTGCTACACCTACATCTACAAACTGGCAGAGACAAAAAAACGTAGCGAAACAGAGCACTGCGATATAATTGTCTCACAATTGCAATGACAAAGTTCAATGCGTTTGGAAACACAATTATGGGCTATAATAGAACAGACGAACTACGGCAGAATCATGTTTTATATAAATCATTAAACTATTATTTTCAGCATTCTTAAGAAAACCTTATGAAAAATCATGGGATTGCCAAAAATACTATCTTTGCAGTACTCTATTTTTAATACCTCAATAATTTATTTAAATAATTTATAAATACCTCAATAAAAAAGAAGAAACAACATTTGTTTTGAGTGTATCCACAATTTCTACACTACAGCTATATGTAGCTATATGATATAAGGACTTGAAGCTGATTAAATTTTGGTGGTGAGTTGAAAAATCTTGACAAAACCAACCAGGTTTTATTTAAATGGGGTTTTGTTATTTATGCAACTGTACAATTACAGTCACATATTGGTCTTCTGGTTTATATATCTATCTACTTGTATGCTCATAAGATCTATTTTGTTTAAAGGTCTAAAGTGTACCTATTCTTTCAATGAAAATTGGCTAAAGTTGGCGCATGTTAACAGGTAAGAGTATAATCGTTAATTATTAAAAACCCGTTGATCTGTTGATCACTATAAGTTTTGTCGTTCGTTTACCATAATTACAACATTCGTAATTAATTTTTCACAATATGTTAAGCCGTATAATTAAACATCTCTATAACTTACAAAGAAAAACTATTATATTCATTATTTATGACGCTTGCTTTAACTAGAAAGTAATAAACAGTCTGCTCAAAATAAACCAATTTCGAAATAAAGAAAAGTGATATTAAAGCAATTATTTTATGAAAAAATGGTGGAGTGTTATGAATTTCAACATTATGTATTACATATACATATGTACGTATGAGATAAATGAAACAAATGTGTATAAACATAGATTGTCTTCCAAACATTTTCTTGAAATAAACGTTAATACGAAACCAGTGCAGAGCTATAAGAACCAAATAGATTTAAAGTTAGTAAAAACGTTACTTATTTAAGTTAATACAAAAACGCGATATTCAGAAAGGAGAGGTTAAAACTTTGAGCAGAATACTCCAGAGTACTAAGCAGGGCAATTCAAGAACACCAACTCTAATTAAATAAATACGTACCTTTCAATGGCGCTGACATTGCCGGTGCGTTCGGAAAACTCCTTGAGTTCCTCATTGGATTTTATTTTGTCCAGCAGTGTCTCACCGTGTCTGGCAGCAGCCAGTATCTCATCCTAAAAAAGACGATCATGTTTGTTTTGAGACCATTATGCAATGAATCTAAAAATAACCTTCAGTCGCGCATAGTCGACGCCCTGATCCTCTAACAATTTTTTTGTTGCCTCTACGGAATTGGGAAACTCAGTATCATGTATGGCTTGTATGAATACATCCAATTCGGCAGAGACTTGATGTGTCAAGCTTGAAAACTTCTCGAGTGACTGCAAGCAAACGCATTATCGTTAGAAAGTACATCATCGCTTTAATTGATATTTACTCACGATCCTTTGTTGTATCCACTCATGATGAGAATATATTAATGTACCGCCCATATCGGGGGTTAACTGACTGATGTCAATAAATTCATGAAGATCGGACAGAGCTGAACACACAATAAGCCGAAAGCGGTATTCGTCCTTGGAAGAAAATTTCGAACTCACTTCGGATATGGCCTTCTGAAAGAGGCCCGACGGACGCAGCACATAGACCACATGTATGATACCGGGAAAGTAAATCTGCGATTCATAAAAAGAAATGGTCCTAATAAGTGTTAATTGATCAATGAGTTTTAGCACTCGTACCGATATTCGCTGCAACGTCGTCTTTACTGATGTCCATCGGTCCTTGCGTCGATCAATAATCAAGTGAAAGCCCAAATCAGCATCCTGGAGGCTAAAAACACATTATAAAAACCAATTATTATTAAAGTTCATTAAGTGCTAATTATAAATATTTGTATAGGGTATAGGGGCTTTTACTTACGATGGCACTGAGCTAAGGTACAAAATGAGCTTCTGATAGTCGGCTTCTTCGATCGAATTGAAATTATTGTTGTCCGGAAAGATAATTAATGGACAACCTTCCTGAGAACGACCTCCTGTTATGATTGCATGCTGGGGATGCAACAGATCTGCCACGTCGGCTATGTTGAGCACGCCCTCGCCGCTCATGGCGGCGGCCGCTTGCGCTGGAGTTATGTGCTCCAGCAGCGAGTTGATCTGTTCCGAGGGCTTGTGTGCACCAAGGGCGTCAGCGGCATAGGCTACACCCTGTGAGTTCACAGAACTAGTGGAGTTGCTGCTAATCGTAGATGTGGTATGCTGCAGCAGTCCTGTGCTCCGATTGGTGTGCGCCGGCGAATTGCTAAGCGATTGAAAGATAGCCGTCTGTATGGAAGCCCCACTGCTAACCGAGATCTGAGATTCGATCATATGGTGGCTGATCAATTGTTGTTGCCGCGGCTGCGTTTGCGATGCACTCATCACAATTGCCTGAGATTCGGCTAGCGCATTTTCCACATCATGATCTATTATCAGAGGCAAAGAAAAAAGGATAAAAATAAGTAAACAGGCATGATCATTAGTATAAACCAAGAATGGAAATTTAACAAACTGAAAAGAAAACCACAATTAAGCCCAAATTATATTAATGACTCAATTAATTATCATCACTTTCACAAGCAACCAAAGCCAACACTCAAGATTATTTACTCTTGTAGACCCATTACCTAGGAGCTGGCAGATATGTGAGAAGATTTGTCAAGCTCGTAATAGCTAACATTGGTGAAGATATATGTATATACTCCGGTTTTGGTTGCATATAAGGAGCAAAGTTGAACTCTTAAATTAATAGTTTGGTAAAACTATATTGAAAAGCAAAAGTATAGCATTCCGATTTTAATTCTTAGGCGTTAATATTTGCATAAAATGAAAAGATCTTTACAAAACATATTTTTTGTTGAAAATCCGGCTTCTCCAATGTCCAAAAGTAACGCCAAAACTTATCATTCGGTTATTTTTCCCATATTATTTTTATTATGAGCAGAACTCATTCTTTTAAATATGTTTTTAGCAGTGTACTCAAAACTATCCTTCTAGTATTATAGTATTAATTGCCATTAACTAAGCAATTCTTGTTATACGGATTTATTTTTTAAATATTTGTTTGTAAGTATTTTAAACAGCAAAGGCGAATCCATAAGAAAAAGTTCTTATTAAATAAAATGTGTATACATATCTGTATGAACATAAACATTAAGCATTGCATAGTACATGTGCGATATGTATGTATATACAAATGTGCATCATTTGCGTGAAGAGGATATAGATGGGGCGTTTCGTTTTTAGCTTTGACCCATTTTCAGCTAGACGGAACACTTGCTTCTCCAATCTATGAAAATTTAGCTCTTCCGCATATTCTTATGTCTGTTTTTTGGTCGGGTGCTAAGCAATTTTGAGAAAGTTCGCTTGTCGCACGGAATCATTGATAACAAGCTAATAATAAACAGGTGGGAATGCATCACATTGATCTAGTTGTATATTTATAAATTTATTTAAGCCCACGAATCATAACAGCTTTTGTCGAAAGGGACTACTTTGAAATGGCCAGAATGGAAACGTTTTTGTCTTAATCTCCAAATCTCCAATTTCTGAAGTTCCTTTACAAACCCTTGTAGAAGGTATTATAACTTTGTCGTAAAGTATTTATATTCTTGATCAGCATAAACAGCCGAATCGATATTTTGCCATTTGCCATCTGACTATTGCTAACTAGTCTCTCAGTTGTTTAGCTATAGTTACGATCTGTATATAACTGACTAATGCACAATAACTTCTTGCATGAAAAACTTATTGATATCTTGACTAATTTAATAATTTTATCATGCTAAATATTATCGATTGGGCAAAGAATCTGTTTTTGCATGGAAAGATTTTCTATTTTTCAAGTTATTTTTACCAAACTTATCAATTACGAGCTTCCCATAACTGCAAATCTGTGTCAATTTAGACAAAACGGTTGAATGAAAGTTTTTTGTTTACCGTCCGATCGGCTTAAAACTCATTTTCAAAGATCCTTGAGAGAATTTATTTTAAACGTGCCACGGGCAAGGCCTGGCAACATTATTCTTGGTCAAAATTCATGTGAAAATACATATGTACATGCCTACACATACCTACAAGCATACAAACATACATACATACATACATACATATGTACATACATACATATGTACATACATACACACACATATATTTTACATACATTTCACAGACATACATACACATAACATACATATATACATACATACATACACACACATACATTTCACATACATACATACATACATACATATATACACACATACATACACACACATACATACACATACCTACTTACATTTTTGAGAATCGAGGAGGAGGGCAGCTTGAATAAATATGTTTTCTTATTTAAATTTGCCGCGCAACAAGACAAATTGGTCTACTATTGGTATAGAAGCTAATTTACATGCATACATACATACATACATATATACTCACATACATATAAACACACACGCACACAGACACATTCACACACACATACATACATACATAATTACATACGCAGATTTCAATTCAATCAATTTGGTACCTAAAGCTGGCAACATTATTCTTGTAATATACATATATTTGTATAAATGCCTTTGGACAGTTGGCAGCAGAATTTATCCAAGGATCAATTTTAAACGACCTTCGGTAAGCACTTTATGTATGTATGTTTATGGATAAGTACGAATTTATGCCGCCGAAAATCGGAGAGTGGTACAGGGTATCTCCTCGCAAGCAATCTGCACAATAGCACCCATAGTAATTCTTAATGAGGGTAGCACTGGACATGGATAAATCATTTTGTATCTCTTAAATTCGAAAACGGTTTTTTAAATAGGGTCACGACATTAATAAGTTAATATATTACATTAGAATTATTTGCATTACAGCTGCCTTATCTTTCATTTTTTATCCTGCATTTTTGTGTCTGTATCCAGAATCGACATGATTAGTTTTGTGAACTGGTTTTAACCGATTCTTCCCATAATACTTTATGATAAATTAGACCGATATTGATAAGCTTCGGCTTACATGTATGTATGTAAGGAGCATAGTGAATCAAACAAGTGCCATGTTTGGTCAAGATATTTACATAAACAAATAGGTTTTTCATAGGAGAATTTAATTTTTGACCGATTTATAACGCTGATCAAGAATATATGTATGCTTATACTTTATGTGGTCAGGGATGTCTCCTTCTAAGCGTTACACAGTTCTTGAGAAACGAATGTGACTCTAAGCATTCTTACTTTGGCTTTGTTTTTCTATTATTAATGTTGTCATTTATTTAATTGTAGTTAAGCACGTAACATTCACAATAATTGGGTATACAACTAATGAACATACCATCATGAGCTATAGTTTGCAGGTTGCCCATTGAACTTGCCACTGGACTCCCAGCAGATAAGTACGCATACGTTTTAAGTATTAACACTGATTACGGCACGGCCAATGTAAATAATTCACATGCGGTGTTGTCTGATTTTTTGCCATATATAAAAGCATGTGCGGAATGATCTGCTCAATTGCACAACACAGCTGATGGTATAGAAATTACGAATAAATTTGAGCTTTAACTAAACACATATGTTTCACACGGCAGTGAGTAGCAGCACTTATGCGGTGTTCTTCTCCTATGTATATTGTACGTATCAAGAGTGAAATAACACAATTCCAAAACGAAAAGAAAATAGAATCTAGTAACTGAAACGTTGCGTATGGTATTGCCACTGCGATATTCAACGAGACTCTGGCAGTGAGACTCAGCATTGTTGGCCTCGCCATCGTCAGCTGCTGCCAAGCGGAGAGGCCTCGAGATAGGAGAGAGAGAGAGGCAGCTGGAGAGAGCTTGCGTAAGAGAAAAGCACCATGAATACAGAGAAAAACCGTCATGAAGGTGATTGCTCGATCGCCAGAATCCAAATTTCAGACCAATTCTGAAGAAAAAAAAAGAGCGCCAATGCTCAGTTTGCCGGTCGTTTCTTTTGCTTTCCATTGATCAAGTTGGAAATGGCGTCTGCTGCATTTCGAGTGCGAGTGCACACACATTCGTTTGGCACCGACAAACACCTAATTGGAGCAGCGCGAAAACGAGTCAGTCAATGAACACTCAACAGCTCACATTCACAGATGCACCGAACAACGAAAAGTATCTGAAAGTTCTATGCGTGCTTCGCTCTTGACTGCCCACTGTCAATTGTAAAGCGTGTAACATCTGCCATAGAGCGCACAGATGATAACGCTTTAATGAAATATACAGAGATTTAGTACCGCAGAACTGTTCCAGTTCTCTGTGCTTCCCGCTGCCGCCATTAACACAAAGTTGATGTTATAATAGTTGTGATAGTGTATAGCTGGTCTATGTTACTCCGCACGGAATTGCGACTATTAGAGTCGTAATAGGCAATATATTCCTGCTATCTTCGTTACATTCTACTCGTTGTCCCATTTCATGATCACAGTGTGATAAGAATAGTCAGACGCTCCGGCATAATATTGACATATTACGTTTGGGTGAAAACCTTTCGAATACAGCTTAAATAATTATCTAAAGTGTACAAGCAAGGGGTGTTAACTTTTACTTTTACCGCTCGATATTTGCCCCTTGACTATGTTGATATTTGGCTCGAATTAGCAACATGTCTATTTTGCGAATCTCAGTGCACTTTTTTGTGATTTATTTTTGGCGTTTAAAAAGACCGACACATTCAAATACATATATTTTTACGTTACGCAATTAGATTAAAGTGGAATACTTTTTTATAAATCTATAAGCTCAGACACCATGCACAAGAGTCATAAAATATCTCTAATTTTTGTTTGTATATTCTAATTATTATTAATTTTATTATTAGGATATCTCCTGCTTTCAATATTATGGATAAATATAGGTAATAAAGGTAAAGCCTCGCACTTCAATAATAACAAAATTTAATAATGGTCGGACTATAAATACCGACTATGGATCCGAAGGTTATCAAGAATGCATTTCTTATGAAGGCAAAGTCAAGTGCGAAGTGTGCGATCTGTTATATTTCTGCAAGGCTCTCTAGTCGGGCCTCTTGTTTTATTTATTAATATTTTACTCGATATCATATTGAATTCAGCTAATGTAAAATACCGATCCATTTGTGCATTCTGTTGTATTCAGTTAGAATAGAAGCAACGATTTAAGGTACGAAGGGACAAATTACCACTAGTTAATTTTCAGTACTATTTCTAGTGCTGGAAAACATCATCGAACCAAGAGCACGACACACAGGAGCTGAAATGTTGTAATTGATTTTAGTTGGCAGAACTGAATACATTTATGGACATGCGCTCGTACTCTATTCTTATTATTGATGTCTATCTGCTGTTTTGATAGTCGTTCACATGTACAGATCAGCTTGCTCATCAGTCAAACTAAACTATATAAATACTAGTCAGAACTTTGCAGTCGGGAGCAAACATCTGGGCAATTATCTGTTGTCAGTGTAATAACAGCTGAAATACTAATTTATTGAATGCGGTACATATGTATAATTAATTTGTTTATATATATTTCCCCGCTCATAAAGTTGATAGTTGGGGAAATTGACAAATACAATCGATTCATGACAAATATATATGTCGTATATTGTAAAAAGGTTAATGTGAAATGTTTTATTTATGAATCATTTTACGCCCTTAATGACTGTGCCTGAAAGGTTACTTCAAAGCAAGTTTGTAATCGTACGTAAACAAAATATTAAACGTACTTATAAAACAATTTCTAATGATGGTATGATTGTAAATGTGACTGACGAATTGCTTTCTGGTTTATGTAAATAACAAAACTTCTTGCGGCAATTTATCTAATGTACAATATTGTTATCTGCCACACAGAGCCCTTTCGCTCGTTCAACTCAATCAGGCGTTTTGTCTATAGATAATTAGCATATCAGTTTGGCAATGACGACTAGGAAGTAGTTACAACGCCCCTATATACTGCATGCAACATATGTATGTATGTACATACCCACATACTATATGCACATAAGAATATGCATGATTATTGTTGAAAGGTCATCGTTGTGTACTTCGATCAGATGCTAGGTGTTGTGTGGCGGCGCCCAGTACGTCAATTTAGTTAGTTTTGGTTATTCAAGTCAAATGAGCAATTTATAAACAGATATATAACAGGATTTACGCGAAATAACAATTGCACCAAAACCAATCACATATGAACGTGTTGTGTTAAACAAAACAATGTACTGCATACATGTACATAACAGTATATATATTTATATATGGATAAATAGATTCTATGCATTTGCAATATTAATAAACACACGCGCGTCACGACTTATATATATATACACATATTAACGCACTTAAGAAACATTAGTTGTATATTTCAACTGTTCACCGGGTTTATTTTTACACAGAAGCGAAGAAGAAGAAGAGAAGAAACTCATATAAATAACATAACAGCGGGAATAACATTAACATAGCATATGTTATTAACACATTGATTCCTGAACTGAACAAAGATAATTAACAGATTAATTATTTCAAACGATTCGAAGCAATTTTTTATAATTATAGCGAAGTTTATTCAAATCCATGACAACTTGTAAGAAAATCGGCGGCTTGGATTCAAATTTTTAACAGCGTTCTAGTAGTTCCAGTCTAACATGACTAGTTACAGAACTATCGATAAAAATAAACACAGCTGTTGTATGTTAAACGCAGAATGTACTTTGTTAAATATTAAATATATCATTAATATATTACTTTGGGCAATATTAAGCTAATTAATAGCATTTTATTTGAAATGCTCATTTGGTTTTTTGAGGATACAGCGGTATCCATACGGCTTATAGTGCGCCAGAAGTTTGAAATGGGAAAACTACGGATCGGCAAGCTAGTGCAAAACAAATAACTAAAAAGAGATATCGACGAAGTCTTTAATCATTTATCGAACTGTTGTTTTCAACTGTTGACATATTTAAAAACGAATAATGATTTATACTTTGCATACGGCCAACTTTTGTTAGATTCCATAATCCTTATAAACAATTTTTCTAAATCCAATCTTCTATGACACTGTGAAACTATATCATGCTGAGCCGATCTGAAAAAACAGCTAAGAACCAAGGCCACATTCGCCCATGCTAACTATTTACGTATCTGCGAGCGTGGGCTTGAAATAAAGCAACAGGCGAAAACAAATGAGAATCGCGAGTACCAGAGATTAGCAATAAGCGTCGTCTACCCTAAATAAAACTGAAACCCTCTTGCAGCGGTGCGCCAATTGTTATGAGGGTGTAACACTTAGCGGCATTTATGTGTACATACATATACATACGTACATAAGTATGTGTTTCATAAGAGCGGCCATTTAAGTGCAGCCTAATGAGAGAAACGTATACAATATGGCACCAGCAAACATACAAGACGGTTTTCCATTTCTTTACAGCCCAAGATATATTCTATATAGAGAATATAACTGCCTGTCCTGACTGACTGAGCTAGGAAGCTGAAATTTACTGAACCTACCTTATTTGATGGAGTACACGCTAGGGAAAGGTTTTTAGGAAATTTAATAAGTGTGTGTGTTTCAATGAATAAATCCTTGTTTTCTGAGCTTTAAATTACATTTGCTAACCGCCTTAAAATTAAGATCTCTCTTCAGCAATCCCTCAATTTTTTCAATTTTTTTCTTCCATGATATATTTCAACTTGTTCCTTAAACCTTGTTTAATGATATATTCAATATTCTCAATATTAAATCATTTTAAAAATTCAACTTTTAGGCAAAAGTTGCAATATACCTAAAATTTTCACAGAAGTGGCCATTTAGGTGGAAAGGGCAATGTTGAGTGAATGTTTCCCCAATTTTAAATAAATGACCCATAATGTCTGTAATAATAATTAAAAACTTTTTTAAACAACTTTTTAATTTTCATCTGATCCACTTCTGTTCAAAATTCTGCTTAAACTGCAATATGGACGAGTTTCGCACTCTGGAAAAATATACCGGCCCCTCTGGGGCATCCCAGATGTATGAAGGACAGTTGCCTTTTCATCCATTTGGACTCAAACTAATTAATACTCATTAATATCAACATATTTAGCCCTTTGTGTGGAAACGCGTGCTCAAGTAGTATGGGTATATTTACAATTTTCTACGAGCAAGGGTAAAGAATGATAGATTAAGGTAAAATAGTAAGATAAAGTCCTGATAGTAGGCTGATAAGCCCATTGCACAATATATACCCGGGCGTACGAACGGAAAGAGAGCCTAGCCGTGACATTTACTGAGTAGGAAATGCCAATGGAAAATCAATATGCTGGTGAGTGGAGTAAGGGTAAGGCAATAGCCTTGATGTTTGACTGAATAAATGATGTATTCAACAAGAGCTGAGTTTTAGCGGCCCTTGGGGAAAACTTACCTGACAGTTCCGATACGTCTAGACAGCTGGATCTGCTTTTGGTTCTTTGGAGCAAACGCTGCAGGGGCTGCTGTCGTTGAGGACTGCCATTGGATTGTCCACTGTTGGAGTCGGAACCGCCAACCCAGTCGGTATCGATGGCCTTGGAAGCACTACGTTTAAAATGCTCCAAAAAGTGATCAATTTGCTTCTCTATTGAACTGGACGGCGAACTTTCCATTTTAACTTTTACATTTTCGTCATCGAAACCAACCAATACGCAAATTTATCTAAGAAAATTTTGCCTTAAATTTATAATGCACTTTCACAAGAAGAAAAAAATTGGGTGTTTGGCAATTATCAAATGGATGACGATACACAATTATCAAGATTGTAATTAAATAATATTTTTCTTATGCCTTGCGTTGATTTTATTTGAACTTTTCACAACAAAACAATTTTTTTTATCTCTACACTAGTATTTGCTGCATTTTGTGTCGGGTCCTTTTGGATGACTCAACCTTAACCGCTCTTCCGCATCGTTCGACCAAGACTGAGAGCACGGCGTGGGTAGCTGTTGCCACTGCCACAGATAAACTGAGCGAACGGGTGTCTCTGAGGATATACCCAGAAGTTGGCTGCGACCATGACGCCGCCACGACTGGGAGAGCCGGCAAAATTCGTTTTTATTTGTGCTTCCTCTGTTTTCCTCTCAGTGACGCTGAGAGCTTTGGTTGGCACGTGTTGTTTGTGAATTAAAATCTCTGTCATGCGCACGAATCAAACACTTACAGGTTAATACGTACATGCCTACATATTTACGTAAATGTGCATATGCTTCTTTTGCGATATCAGCTGTTCGTATCCCTTAAAATGAAGTACTGGGGTATGCCTAGTTACTCTCCGTATGATAATAAAAGCCGTATAGTTTTTTTTGCTTTAGCTATTATACCATTATATATACCATTCGTGGCCGATCGGGGAGTGTAGGTATCTTAAGTGATAACGGAAGCGAGAATGGATTTGGGGTATTTTCTTAAATTTGTTTTTTTCTTAAATTTGGAAACAAATCAAATCAATCTATGTAAAGATATATAAACTTCGAAAATGAATTGTTCTCAGAATTCTTTATTTTTATATGCTGCTTTGATCTATTAAAATATAAAAGAAGTAACGGTTTATTTGGTTTTTTTAAATTTGAAAAGTATCAGCGGAGCTTGTGCGATATTCGATTGAAAATAAACTCGATAGATTAAATAAGGAATAAGAACCTATTTCAGTAGTTCGATAAAATGAACCAATGAACGATACTTAACTGGGCCGATACAACTCTACAATCAATCCATAAACAAAAAAAATTTTGTGTATAAACTTTAAATAGACGCGGAAGTAAATAAAACAATAAATGCGAAGTTCTTAACATTAGCCAATTACAAATTGTCAACTTGCTCTGGATTATGGAATATTAGGGTCCTGTAAATCGAGTAAGTTGTTTGGAATGACACATTTGTAATACTTGTATGTATGTATACATGTGTGCATGTAGTTGATTGAATATATATCATGTATACATATGTATGTATGTACTTGAACATATGTGCATAAAAAAAGTACATTTGAACATATGTAAATGCAAGTTATCGTACATACATATGTACATATGGAAATGATTTAGCTTCAAGTCCGAATTAAAAGTTACACAAATGTGCAGACTTTTTTAGAATTATTTATAAACATTTTCGTCGAGAGTTTATGTCTCATACATATCTATCTTTTGTTGTAGTAAGAAAGAAAACCAACAACGCATTTAATCAATGTTCTCCAACGGGCTGCCGTGCAACCTGTCTTTTCCGAGCTGCCTAAGTGTCCCGAAAGATGGTAATGAGGAGCTCTTGCCATCCAATATGGGCACAAGAGAACCAGTTATTCTTAACGTATATGACATGGTAAGGAACAACATGGATTGATTGGATCGACATATTTGTTTACCTATTTTATATTGTTCGCAGTACTGGATTAACGAGTATACCACATCGATTGGTCTTGGCGTATTCCATTCCGGCGTAGAAGCATTTGGCACGGAGTTTGCGTATGGTGGCCATCCATTTCCGTTTACTGGTGTTTTTGAAATATCTCCACGCGACCACGACGAGCTGGGTGAACAGTTTCAATTCCGACAGAGCATACAAATCGGCTGTACCGACTTTACTTATGAGGAAGTTCGTCGCCTTGTCGAGGAATTGGGCAATCAATTTCGTGGAGATCGTTATCATCTTATGAACAATAATTGTAACCACTTTTCGGGCAACTTGACACAGGTATGCGTATACGTGACTCAAAAACCTCTAATGGTCGTTGCAATAACAGCTTTTCCTATTGGCATCTTCAACAGATACTTTGCGGCCAAGAAATACCCAGTTGGGTTAACCGTCTTGCACATTTCAGCTCCTGTGTGCCATTTTTACAAAGATGCCTACCAAAGTGAGTTGGCTGAAAGAGATATATGCAATATAAATATGCGATATTCGTCTATTTTAGAGAGTGGCTAACACCGAATGCCTTGCAGCAAAGTATAACTACAATCCAAGAGCGCGAAGACTCGGACAATAGTCCCCTTTGAGACATTACCTGATCTTAAAATATTCGTAACTTGCAAAGTCCCAAGCGAGCATAACTCATCCCTGCTGTCTTAAGACCAACAATATTGTTAAGTTAAATTGAGGAAAGCCGGGTTATCTATCGACACTCATTTCATTAAAGCCAAGAACTAAATTTCCAATAGATTGCAAAAGTAATAATGTTAATAGGTTTATATTAGGCTACATTAAAAGCGAATACATTATTGGCTATTGTAATTTGACTATTGAGAATTAAGATATTATTAAGTGGCCGATAAGTGTTAGTGAGTAGAAGACGGCAGCAGCAGCAAAACAGTACACTTTCTGCGACATCATTTATAGAATTTTGAATTTAATATTAAACATCGAGAAACCATTTCTAAGAAAATGCTAAAATGTATTAACAAACAAGCATATTATATGTAGTTATTGATATCAAAGTTGTCATCAATAGTTAATTTATAAACATTTTTTTTAAAATTTATTTTTACAATGTCGAAAGCCGCATGTCTATCAAAACACCAAAACGATCTGTTATCAATAAATATGTACTTGACATTCTGATATTTACACACACATTAATACTATTATTATATTAAAAGATTTTTAAAGAAAATATATTTTAATTCAATAATAACACTATACGTAGTTATTCATAGTCGTACGCTTAAGTGAAGATACAAAAAACTACAGAATAAGTACATACATGCATACACATGTATATTTTCAGACAAATAGTGCCAAACAAATGCTGCGAATTATGAAATTTTACTGCTAATGTTGCTACTTTGCGGCCAAACGTCCAGAATATGATTTGACAAATAACTGGTATAGTGCAACATAAACAGGATAACATATATAAAATACATATAAATAATTATGATAAATACATTGTGACAACTATTTACAAAATGGTGGCTACAAAATCTGCACAGTTAATTGTCGTTTCTTAAATTTAACTCAAACTAGGCTGGAAACATTATTGTATAAGCCGACAGATGCGATTTCATCCACGTCAATATCGACGTCACTGTTTAAAACATTATGCGGGAGCTGATTCCGGAACATCATGGAATGCGCTCTAATAGAGTTGACATTTTGGACCAGATTCCCATGCAGATATTGAAGCTGATTGTTGTCAGCCACATGAGGAGCTTGGCTAATGTACTCTTTATGTAATGGTTCATGATCATGTGATTGGATGTGATTGAGAGTTAAAGATGAACTCGGTGCGTCAAACTCTTGCTGTCCTGTATAGCCCCCAGCAAACATAGCATTTCCAATATCTCCGGAGTACATCTTTTGTGTTCTTTGCATATGCTGTGACCGATGCGGGAGATCGTGAAAATATGCATCTTTGGGTATTTGCCTTTCAGCTACGCCGAACTGTTGGGGCTTCCTCATGTGAGCTGTGTACAGAGCGGAAGGATTTTGCAACGGAAGCTGAGGAGCGCTCCCATGGTTGGAAATACTGTGTAAGCTGTTATTCAAATGCGGGCTAATTATATTTGAATGCTGCGAATCTGGGCTTAAGGTCACATCACTGTCAAACTGAATGTTCGAATCTATTTTATCCTGCAAATGTGCTACCATGTCTTTGACTTGGCCAGCATTAGATTTCTTTAGGTACTTTATCTCACTGTTTTTAATTTCAACCTTTCCAACAGCATCATTGGAGCTTTGCCTTATAGGTAGCCCGCTTGGGTGATTTGCAATGTCTCCTTCAGCAAAACTGATGGGATTCGAATTAAATTGAGTTGGATTGGCCACGTAGTTATCCTCCAAGCATAGTGGTTGTCGTTTCATTAAATTGGATATAGATTTAGGGCAACCTGTGCGGGACTGTCGCGCATGAAACACAGCATCCGTGCTACAAGACGGAGACGGAGTGTCGTGGGCTTGCTCCTTATACAGTAGCTTGTCTCCACATATTCTGTCCGCATTCTGGTTGAAAGCCACGTCGTCCTTACTATTATCCGTGAAAACGCCATCCTTGCGAAGTGCCTTAATAACCGTATTCAACATGTTTTCACCTCTACCAATGCAATGATAGTACTTTTGGCCGCCTGGAGGCGACGTTTCAAACTCCCAACTGTTCGAGTTCTGTGAGGGATTCGAGGTTTCACTAGAGTTGGGATAGCGTCGCTGCACATTTGTATACTCATCATAGTTCGGACTATTGCCATTCTCCTTATTTTCTAGCAGGAGACACGGATTTTCTGGGCTATACATGGATGGATTGCTTTGTTCCGGGGAAAGAGAGCAAAGCTGCCGTTTACTCTCTTGTTCATTATCTCTCTCCATGATAAGAGTTGTTTTCTCCAACAAATCTCCAAGTCGCTCTGATACCTTAAGGAAATCCTGTTTTAATTCATCCAGTTTCGATTGCTTAAGTTCCTCCTGAGCTGCCGAAACGGCTGAGGCCATGACATCATTGCAATTTTCCGGTATTCCAGTACTAGAGTTGGAACGAGAATCGCTCTCAACTGGCACATCGTTCGAATGGGGATGGTAGACAACATCAACAACAGTTTGATTTTCCTTTTCTAAAATGTCCACACTCTTAGAATTAGACATTTTGCCGTTTTCAAAATTGCTTTCAAGCAAATCCAAGCTTCGACAACGAGACAATGTGCGTTCGACTCTTTGACTTTTGGTTGGATTGTCAAATGTGGAGCGAAATGGCTGCCCACGGCGGAGGTATTCGTTGATGTATTGCCTCTTGCTTTCACAACGAATCCGATCCTCGATCATCGTTCGGGTCAGTTGCTCGATTTGGTCATTCGTCTTTATCGCCAGCGCTTGAACCTTGTGGCCCAGTCGTTCCTTTGTTTTGTGCACGTACTTCTTTAGACTTTTGCGATTACAGTTCAATTTATTTTCTATATGCCGGAAGAAGGGGCCACAATAGCATGTGTTACCAACACTCACTGGACCCTTGTGTATGTGACCGGCGAGGTCGAGAAAATATTGTTCGCCTTGCTTTAGCGGTTCTTTGGGTAAGGTCTCTAGTTTGGGCGATGGAAAGGAGCGCGGATCGGGAAAGTAATGGCAGCCATAGGGGGACCAATTGATCGCATTATCTGCACTATCTTTATCTTTATCCTGAGCAGGCACCGATTTATCATTTTCCTTTGGCTTTTCTCTACGGTTACGTATACGCTTTGGAGTGCTCAGAATTTCATTAATTTCGCGGTAATTCTTTCTGATCGCAATGCTCTGAGGCGTGTCGCCTTGTGCGTTCTTCACATTCAACCGTGCATCTGCCTCCAGCAAAATACGCGTCAGTTTCCGGCGGCCCATGGCGCACGTGATGTGCAACGCAGTGTCCCCATTCAGGTTCGTCTTGTTGGGGTCACACAATGCCGAAAGAAGGATACGAGTAACGCCGGCATGGCCATAACGGCAAGCAGTATGTAGCGCAGTATCGCCGTACTAAGTTAAACATGGAATGCCGATTTTTAGATATGATATAATCAATGTAATATGTAAATACAACCAACCTTGTTCTGAACATCGGGATCTGCTCCGGCCATCAACAATTCCCTAGAGCTTTGATTATGGCCATTTTGCGCTGCCAAATGAAGCGCCGAGAGACCCTCGTTATTAATAATATTCAGCGTGCTATTGTGCAGAGCCTCGATCGTGTTTGCCACCCTCGCCTTCAGTCTGCTCTTCTCCTTCTGGTGCGACTTTGTGGGTGGGGGCGCGCAGAGTAACTTTACGCAGCGACTGAGCCCACGACTGGCTGCTTCATGCAATGCCGTGTTGCCCTGGTTAGACTCTCTGGCCAGGCGATCGGCACTGCTAGACAGCAATATTTGGACACGCTTGTCGTCTCCTGCCGCAACTGCTTCGTGCAATGCCGTCCAGTTTCTGGAGTCATGCTGAAATGAATGAATATTACGAAATATACTATGCACCGATACGATTTCTTTTTGGACAAACCCCGGAAATGGCATTTGGCAGGGCTTCCTGTTTCAGATTGTGATCCATACTGCATTGTCTAAAAGCAAATTCCAAAATAAAGTGGTTTCAATTGTTTGAAATCGACTAAAAAACAAGTCAACAATACACTTAACCATGTGTGTGTGTGTGTGTGTAAGTACAATGCCCATAAAAATACGTTGCACTTTTGGTGTACTTAAATACATACATATGATCATATGTACATACCCACACACATATCATTGTACTCACGCATTAACATACTTAGATGCTTTTAGAATTTTTTACCATATCCTTTTCTTATTTTGCTATGGTTATGATTGAGTTAATTTTTTTTGTTCATTTTTGGCACGTTTCACAAATACAACAATATTTTGCTAATCGAAGTCGACCGCTTTGCAGCGTATTAAAGCACTGTCAAGACTTACAACTTAAATTGATGTTAATACCGTTATACGTTACATTTCTGGTTTTTAACCATGTTTTACTTTATGATTAAAAAACTATAATCAGCAGCTTGCGTTATATTTTGCTTACATTTAGTAAACGCCCAGAGATAATTTGGCTTTAAGCCAGGCCTAAAGGAAAATAGAAGAGAAAATTGAGGCGAATTGCAAAATTGGCAACAGGTTTGTTCATGGTTGTCACCTATTGAGCATATCGAAAACTTATCGTGCTATTGAAAATATCGATCTTGTCGGTTTTGTTATGTATAAAACCTCTTATTTAAAAGCACTTTAAGCTCTTAAGCTGGCTCTCAATCATTTTTAAGAAAAATAGTTTAAATCACATTAATTTGTTGAAAACTTTGAGATGAGTAACGGCCTCTTATTCAAGAACAACTGAGTGTCCACTGTTAATAACATTACGGAAATGTTAAAGCAATTGGGGTGCCCATAACTGTATGTATCGTAGTGTTGGGTAATTTTTATTAATTTTTGTCATCTCATCACAAAATAATTTTCAATTCCCGTGTCGGCAAAACTAAAGGAAAGATATAGTAAATACAATGGCTTTAGCAGAAATTTGTAAAATTTCCAATGCTTCATATATGAAGCCAGCTGCCTGGACTTCAACGGAAGTCGAGAACGAGCTAAACGCATTCACCAGTAATATTGCAAATCCATATACATTGGCGGCCCCCCCATTTGAGAATGTAAGCGAAATATTAAAATATATCTATATTAATATAAACAAGTAAACGATTTCATTTTCTTCCGCAGCCCCTTGAAAATTTGAACAAAATCCAAGCAAACGCAAGTAACAGCGGGGTTAAGATAAACTTTGATCACGGCACCACAACTCTGGGTTTCAAGTACCAAGGCGGCGTCATACTTGCCGTGGATTCTCGTGCAACCGGAGGTCAATACATTGGCTCACAGTCAATGAAAAAAATTGTCGAAATAAACCAGTTCTTGCTTGGAACGCTGGCCGGCGGTGCCGCTGACTGTGTCTACTGGGATCGCGTGCTGGCAAAGGAATGTCGCCTACACGAGCTGCGAAACAAGGAACGCATCTCAGTGGCTGCGGCCAGCAAGATCATGGCAAACATCGCTCACGAGTACAAGGGCATGGGCCTAAGCATGGGCATGATGTTAGCCGGGTATGATAAGCGCGGACCTGGACTGTACTACGTGGACTCGGAAGGATCACGCACTCCCGGCAACGTATTTTCGGTTGGCAGCGGTTCAATTTATGCTTTCGGAGTCCTTGACTCAGGCTACCACTGGGACTTGGAGGACACTGAAGCACAGGAGCTGGGTCGCCGTGCCATTTACCATGCTACATTCCGTGATGCTTATTCGGGCGGAATTGTTCGGGTGTACCACATGACTCCAAATGGCTGGATCAAAATTTCAGAAACAGACTGCATGGAGCTGCACTACAAATACAAGGAGCAGAACAAAGCAAAATAATATTCTATGTTAACTATATTGCACAGCAACTAATTATGGATATACAAAAATTATATTGCTAAATGAATAAAGAAGTGTGTTTGATTTGGGTTAGTGGTTTATTTGTTCTTAATTTTTGCCAAGTTCTATATCTTCCTTCGGTTTCTCAGCCTTCCTCTGAGTTTTGATGCTCTCCAAAGTTTCCTTGTGTCGCTCTTCTGCGCGCTTTTGCTTAAAGGTACGCTTGGCATTGGTCTTGGTCTTTCTAGTGGGTTTGCGGTGCAGCTGCGAAAGCTCACGACCAATATCCAGGTCCGGTGGTATATGCAGCAGACGAATCATACGATTGCGTATCATGAAGTGGTCGAACGCATGGTACTGACCATTACGATCAATAAAAACCGCGTCTGTCAGCTCGCAAGTCATATGGCCGTCAGCGATACTTATAATCCCTGCTACTGATGTCTCATTTCGCAGATCTATGAGCACGGCACGTCCTTGCAGTATTACGGGCAAACAGTTTAATGTGTTCGAAATCAAATACTTTTCACGTGCGCTAAAATTGTGCATTATGTCTAGTGTCTGTATAACATACCATAATACGCTGAAAGATGACGAAAGAGTTTATAATATGCCTATATGCTAATTTTTTCAAATTCAGAGCTAACTAAACAAACCTTGTTTGAGGAGGGATCAATTAATGCCATTATTAGGAACTTGTATTTTTTAGTTTATGCTGTGGTATTTAATACCAACATTGCGGTATTTTCCGCCATTAGGTAGACGGCCAAATAGCTGCACCTCATACGTGTGGAAACTTGAAACAAAAAAATAGGTTGGCGTTTAGATATATGTACATAAACATGTTTATATAGCTTTATTTTCTAGGTACAAGTGCCATTAAGAGCTAGGTTTGACATTTAAATCAAATTGTTTGCCTTAAAATTAGGTTTAGATTGCCGTGCCGCGCTCCAAATTTTGCTTAATTTCAGCCGTGTGCTCGCCGTAGAAACGATCCAATTTCTTGTTGAATTTTGAGTTGCGTTCGTTTATGAAGTCGACATCGGCGTCGTCGTTATAGATTCGTCGTCTGGAATACTTCTTTCTGCGATCGATTTGCTGCTCCAAATCCTTAACCATATTGTTAATAGCACTTGGCGTGTCCTTGGTAAGCAAATGAAGTGTCGTGTTTGGGCCGCCGTAAAAGGCCTCACCCAGTTCAGCCTTTTGTTTTTCATACTTGGCCATATCGCGAACTGGCATAGTCTTGACCAACCGATTATATTGCCTGGCTGTTTGCGCCTCGTAGGTGGAGAAGCCCAAGTCGGGATTATCTTTGCGTTTCTTCTTTTTCTCTATTCGTTCCGCATCGATGGCTGACACCTTGAGCAGCTGCAGGCGCTCATAATCTTTGCCAGCAGACTCTGCATCTGCGCGTGCCTTGTCATCTGCAAGCAACCATTCTGCTTGTCGCTTACGAGCTTCCCAATTGCTTGGCAGTTTCTTACGAGCGTCTTCTGCGACGACTTCTTGGTGGTTTTGTGTGCGCGCCTCTTGGCGCTGTTTGTGCAGCTCGAGTAAACGTGCCTTGCGTTCGGCTAACTTATCCGAAGCGGATTTGCTCGTTTCCATTGTTCAGTTACGAGTATTTTGTATTTTCTTTTGTTTTGTAAATTGTATCTTGTTCTTCTTTTCGTAAAATTAATGTGTAAGTAAGATAAGTTGGCAGCACTGTAATAAACAGCTGTAATTACTTTTGCTAAAAATACTAAATCACCAAAATATTTTTCGCATGGAGATTTGTAAGTATTTTCGGTATTATTATTAGATTGAATATTTGGTATTTTAGCGCCGCACTGTCTAACACGTGCAGTGCTTTTGTTTATAATTACCGCTTCAACGCTTTAATTTAAAATATTAAGTTATATAGTAAAGCTGCGATATGAAGTTTTCTTACAAAGTGAATATATGCGATGAGGAATACATCACTTGATAGGCATAACGAATAATTTAATTTGCTTGCAGTTTTCGAATTTGTTGGGCACAATTTATCGCAATGGAAACTTGGTCTTCACACCAGATGGCAATTCAGTTATTAGTCCTGTGGGCAACCGGATAACCGTATACGATCTCAAGAAGTATGTTACCCAACCCCGCACATTCCTATTCCCGGTCTAAAACGTATCTCTGTTGTTTCATTGTTAGCAACAAGTCGCGCACGTTGGCCCTGGAATCCCGATACAACTACACAAACATTGCCCTCTCGCCGGATGGCAGCTTGCTGATCGCTGTCAATGAGCAGGGCGATGCGCATTTAATAAGCATGGTCTCCTGTACGGTCATACATCGGCATAAATTCCAAACGGGAGTGCAGTGCATCAACTTTAGTCCCGATGGTGCCTATTTCGCGGTTGCACGAGAGAATCTAGTGCTAATTTTTTGCGCTCCTGGCGAAATAACTGGCGAATACAATCCATTTGTGCTAAAACGCAGTTTCCTTGGTGGCTACGATGACGTTACGTGGCTGGATTGGTCCTCAGACTCTAAGCTGCTGGCCATAGGCTCCCGTGATAGCTCGACTAAAATATGCGCTGTCAATTACTTGGAAAACTTTCGCACTTACAACCTCAGTGGCCACACGGATGCAATAGTCTCGTGCTTTTTCGAATCAAATAGCTTGCACTTGAACACTTTGAGCCGGAATGGACAACTCTGCCTGTGGGAGTGTAGCATGGAGCCATCGGAATTGATTGAAGCTGAAAAACCAGAAGCTGCACCGCCAGCCCGGAAGCGCAGGGCTCCTAATGCGTTCAAAGGATCAGACAGCGAGTCCGAGGATGATATTGAAAACAATGTCGAAAAGCAAACAGTAAAGCAAGACTTGGAAGCTGACCAAAACGAAGTGAAAGATGAAAGCGTAAGAACAACACACCCGTTCTTCTACAAAAAGCTAGGACGGCACTACTTGGCTAACGAGCCACGCAAGGAGAAGCGCGATGCCATGTTAACCGCGGCCAACTATAATCGACGAACCAAGGTTTTGGTTGTAGCCTTTAGCACAGGCGCCTTCTATTTGTACGAGCTACCCGACGTAAATATGATACACTCGCTGAGCATATCCGAATATCCCATTTCGGCGGCCGTCTTTAACTGCACTGGCGACTGGGTTGCGCTGGCCTCGCGCGAAATAGGACAGCTTCTGGTGTGGGAATGGCAGAGCGAGCAATACATTATGAAGCAGCAGGGCCATAGTAGTGAAATGGCCTGTATCGCCTACTCTCCAGACGGCCAGTATATCGCCACTGGCGGCGAGGACTCAAAGGTGAAGCTGTGGAACACACAGAGCAGCTTCTGCTTTGTGACGTTCAGTGAGCACACGAGTGGCGTAACCGCGGTCCAGTTTAGCCGCAATAAAAAGTTCCTGGTTAGCAGCTCTCTGGACGGCACAGTGCGTGCTTTTGACATAATAAGGTCTGATTTGTCCTAACTAAATGCACATTAATTCCATCTAACCCAATGTTCCCTTATGTACATATGTAGGTATCGTAATTTTAGAACATTTACATCGCCGACTCCCGCACAGTTCGCATGCGTGGCAGTGGACTACTCTGGAGAGTTGGTCGTTGCAGGAGGGCAAGATGTGTTCGAGATATATTTGTGGTCCATCAAGACGGGAAAACTGCTGGAAGTTATCAGTGGTCACGAGGGGCCTGTGGCCTCTGTTGCTTTTTCGCCAGTCGCCACTTCTTCGACGCTCATTTCAGGCTCTTGGGACAAAACGGTCAAGATTTGGAATTGCCTGGAGAGCAACAGCGAGCACGAGACAATCGATGCGCTTTCCGACGTGACGTGCGTCGCCTTTAGTCCCAGTGGTGAAGAGGTAAATGCCAATGAAACCTTTTTCATTTTTTCATAATCCGTGTTATCCAATGTGATTTTTTTGAATCCTTACCCAGGTTGCTGTCGCTACACTTGTTGGCAACATAATAATCTTTGATGTTAAATCTGCAACACAAGTGACCACAATTGAGGGACGCAATGATCTAAGCAGCGGGCGATTGGAAACTGATATTGTAACTGCCAAAAAGAATGCAGAGTCAAAGTAAGTAACACGGAGTCTAACTCTATTTGGCAGCCTAGAAAGGGCTACCAACATTTCTATCAACCTTCCGTTCATCTTTTATCGTATCCCTGTTTCTTAGTTACTTCTCAACAATAGAGTATTCGGCGGATGGGGAATGTATTCTGGCTGCGGGTAAATCCGCCAATATTTGTATATATCATGTGCGTGAGGCTATGTTGCTCAAGAAGTTCGAAATAACTCAAAACCACAGCTTGGACGGTTTAAATGTGAGTGGAATATGCCATGGTTACTTTCAGTATGCTTACTTACTTTTAATTTGCAGGAGTTCATCAGCCGGAAGCATCTCAGCGAGTTTGGCAACATGGCTTTGGTTGAACAGCGCGAGGAACTTGAGGGAGGCAAAGTGGCGATTCGTTTGCCTGGAGTCCGGAAAGGTGATATGTCCGCACGACGCTTTCAGCCTGAAGTGAGGGTTTTCTCTGTCCGCTTCTCCCCCACGGGGCAAGCGTTTGCCGCCGCAGGCACCGAAGGACTTTGCATATATGCGCTAGACAAGGGTGAGCAGCTCGTCATACTTATTACAGTACAATACGATTTCCTTAAATTATTTATTATATTTCTCAGGTGTGGTTTTCGATCCGTTTGATTTGACGTTGGAAGTGACACCTAAAGCGACACACGAGGCGCTAAAGAACAAGGAGTTCACAAAGGCGCTCGTTATGTCCTTGAAACTGAACGAGCCCAATTTGGTGACCTTAGTGCTAGAGCGCGTGCCGCATAGGGACAGTAAGTACTCGTAAATTACATGAATACTGGAATGTTGAAAGTTCCTTATGCAGTTCAACCTTGCCAACAGAGTCAGCATGAGACCCTTCGTTTGCTTTTTTGTAATTTTTATAATCGATAGGCATTTTGCCGTTTTTCGCATGTCTTAAAATAGACGGGAGTTGGATTTACCCTTACATTCAAGGCGCTTATTACCCAACTCCGTTCGGATCGAATGTGCAAATTTTTGTTTTTTGCTGTTAATAAACAGTTTCAAGGTTCCTTTTGCTTTCGCATGGCCGGTTAGGGTTTGACTGGCGGAACTATTCGTAGGTACATTGTTAATACAACCCTCTCGGCCACGTACTAGCCCCACAAACTGAATTGAAACATGCATACAAAAAAGTTGTAAATTGATTGCTATTGGATTGCAGCACGTGCCTGCATATTTTGAAGCCAATGTCTTGTTTCTTTCCAGTTGAGCTACTTTGCGCGGATCTATCCCCCGATTACGCCCAGCGTTTGCTGCAACAGCTCGCGCGCCTTTTGCAGTCCTCGCCCCACATTGAGTTCTATTTGCAGTGGGCCTGTTGCTTGCTGACTACCCATGGCTATCGTGACGGCGTCTTTCAGCATACAGCTTTGCTTGCGCTACACGAGAGCATTTCCCGAAAATATGAAATGCTTAACAAAATGTAAGTGCTATTATTTAAATTCGTACTCATTAATGGAAATCCAAATAATTTTAATTAATTTTCAGATGCGACTACAACAAATACACGATACGGGTGCTCCTGGAGAGGTCGGAGAATCTGAAAGCCCGCGAAGATCAAGCCGAAGCAACCAATGAGGACAGTGATAATGAAATGTTGTTGATAAGGCATCCAGGGGATGAAGCTTTGGAATGTGAGTTTAGCGAAGGGAGCGAAGAAGATAGCGACTCGTCTGATGGGGAGGACAACGAAGATTCATAATGTACAGTTTATAGTGTTGTTGTTAAATAGACCCTACGGATACACATATTATTAAATATATTAAATATATATTATTAAATGTAATTTTTATTTTGAACTATTGTGTTTATTATTCTCAGTTAATGGATTTGGTTAGAATCAATTTGGTTTATTTATTTATTTTTTACATGCATATTTGAATACTTGTTTTATTGTTTTTCGATATGTTTAAAGCTTTGAGGATAAAATTATTAGAGCTTAAAAAAACATTTCCCATTCCTTGTATAAAAAAAGCCCGTGAAATACAAAAACTTAACCGATGGAAATTTATGTACACACATATTGTAGCTACAATAAATAAGTTCCTTTGTGTTTGTTATATACTTGAATATGAATTGTTCTATATTTACACAATGTTTTGCTATACAAAATATAATCTTTACCTTTATATCTTATGAATTATCTTTAACATACGTACGTATTCCTAGCTTTTCTTGAGTGCGCTCATTTTACTACAGGTAAATATATAAAATATATAAAGCCACAGCTCAAAAGTTTGCATTGTCTTAATGACGTTTGCTTAAAAAATGCGCTAAATTTTTTATTTGTCTTATTAGTGTGTAAAAAGTCCTAAATAGCATTTTTACTACTTATTTACATTCTAAGTGTGTATGAATATATGTCTTGATCCTTAGAGGGTTGTAAATTTTATTATCTTTTTAAAGCACCAATTATTTTTCTGGCATATTTTCTTAAGCTTAAAAAATTGATATATATATATATAAAAATACATATATATATTTTTTTTCTAATAACTAACAATAAATAAAAACGAAATGATAAGAGTAAAATTAACCCATCACACAATTAAGAATTTTATATTAAAGGTGTGTACTATGCGTAAAGCGAATAATATTGAAGCCGATCCGGATTCTAAATTATTTTTCGAAATGCACCGGTTCTTAAAACTGTTGAATGAGTTATCAGAGTATATTATTTGTAATTAATTGTTAATATCTTTCTCGCAATTTGGGCAGGTCGAGTACAAACCCATATTTATTGGGAATAAACAAATTAATCTGTTCCAAAATAGTTTTGAATAGAATATTCAATTAACTAGCAAGCATGTACCTAGTAAGCTAATTCCTGTCTAGCTGTATCTGTACTATTTAAGGCTCTCAAGATCTACGCTTAACCAAGCTAAAAGATGGACGAAGAATGAGTACACAAATAAAACAAGTAAGAGGTTCTAGTCGGGAGCTCCCGACTAGGGGATACCCTGAACCCTCTTCCTCCAACAGGCGATGTATATGTATATACTATTCTAGAAGCTACATGTCAGGTTTGGTGACTCTAGCTCATGTTATTTGCCGAAATTGCTCAAAAAACAGGATTTCGAGATCGATTTTTATCGATTACTTGGAAACGGGGCAAGTTATCGAATATCGATAACTCGATCTGCGCGGGCACTAGGAGGACCTACAGCCAAAATTTCAAGTATCTATCTCTTATAGGTTCTGAGATCCTTGCGTTCATACACACGGACAGACGGACGGAGGGACGGACGGACGGACAGACAGACAGACGGACCTGGCTAGATCGACTCGGCTATTGATGCTGATTAAGAATATATATACTTTATGGGGTCGGAGATGCTTCCTTCTGTCTGTTACATACATTTGCACAAATACATAATACCCTTTTTACCCTTTTTCAATGCGTTCAGGGTATAAAAAATAATATATAATATATATCAGATGAGCAACTGTCAATTTCGGTTTCGTTTTTTATGTACGACTCACTGTAACTCGACGAGAGTATTTCTTTGGATATTAGCACGATTTGCCCATTGGAAAGGTAGCTGTAGGTTCCATATAATGTGTTGTACTTGAGTGGAGTGATATGCTCGTAGCAGTTGGTTATTGTATAGTTAAAGATGGGTATACATAGGCTGTAGTGTCGGGCCGCGTTGTGTTCAATATAATTCCAATATGGCTGTGAGTTAATTGCATTTAAAATTTTTATCGGAGTCCAGAAAAATGTATTCTGGAACTCCCCAAATCCTAGGACGACTTCATCAGTAATATGGGCCAATATAGGAGTACGAACACAAAAAACAATATCGGAAATACGGCACGAGAAACTTTGTCAATCTCACGCCACATGATCTTCTCAACGCCCGTATCCGTGTCCGTCCATGCAACGGACAAAAGGCTTTGGCGGCGCGCAGACTTCGGTGGTCCTCCGTTGCCCTGTAGCGATGTCTGTAGCAGAGCAAAAGAAATGAATAATTTGCAAAGTGTTTAAGGTAAATGCATTAAGGTAGAATAGAGTAGAGTAGATTGTAGCCAGATTGTTCATATGCTTCGATTTGACAATATATATTGACACAAATGGCGGAAGGTGCATCGCATGTGTGCCAAGGCAACTCACCTGGCCCGGCGTTGTCGGAGTTTGTGTGGCCTTTCGTGACCGAACGGCTCCACCCTCCCAGCTGGCCACAGTTGCACATTGACCCTTTTCCATATTGCTTATGCGCTGTGCAAGAACGATAGCAAATGTGTCTTTTTTATTTATTAAAGCGGAATGGAGAGCTTACCATGGGCAGTACCTTTGGTATGCGGTTCACCTGGTACTGGTATTGGACGTCCAATACTTTGACGACCACGAATTCGGCCAAGGCGGCGAACACAGATACCATGCATCCGGCCATCCACAAGTCAAGCGCCTGCCGCATGGAATCAAAAGATGACGTTCTGTTAGTTTTTGTCCTATGCTTACGGTTCGGAGCTGGGTAATTGCCTTAACATACGCGACGGGTGGTATATCTGCCCGCAGCCCCGTAAACATTGTCACCAGCGTCAGCATGCAGGTGACCAGCAGGGTCACGCGCCCGGGAATGGCATCCAGGCCCAGCCAGAAGCTGAACCAGGAGAGCATCACCACCAGCGAGGAAGGTGCGAACGTTTGTATCAGATGATGCCCGATTTGCCGCTCGAACCGAAAGTAGACGGTGAGCCGTGAAAAGTTGCCCACTTTCTCGGGCATATAACCGTCGCTCTCCTCCAGCTCCAGCGGCTGGCCAAGATTGTACTGCAGCAGTTTTAGCTCTGGATTGAGCGTTACTCCGGAATCGGACCAGCGCAACTTCACCTTCTGGTTATTGGACGAAACTTGAAAGAAATGTGCAAGCCTTAATTATGATTTTACAGTTTGACAGGCTAAAACTCTCTCTTCAATCCACTTACAACTTTCAATGTAAATGGGACACACTTGGATGTCCATGGGGTAAAGCTGGAACTCCATTTGGCAGGCAATTATAGCATGCATGCGGGCGGCATAGCGCACGGTCTTATTTTTATAGAGCGTCACCGATGTGAACTTGTGCGTCAGGGTAGCTATTTCTACAACGAAAAGACATCGGAAAAGACGTTGCAGAGATGCGGAACAAAGGTTGTTTCGATTAGAACTATAGAATTGTTAGGCACTCATTGTCTGATATTGTGGCTACAGAGATGTACGGGTATGCAGGTGGCGGGCGGGTGCTTCTTCAAGTATTACTACATACTAAGTATATAAGCAAATGAATCGGATGCATATTTCGATTGTTTCAAATGCTTCATTCCCCAAACGCATCGAAATGCCTATTCGCAATGATATATAACACGATAATGTAGAGTCTTACGGACTTATCAAACGAATATTTGCTGGAACAGAAAATGCGTTTTAACGGATGAGCCCTTCTTAGGGATTTTGTATATGTTTCTTTGATTAATTTATGCACTTGTGGTTAATGCAATTGTGCTAAATTGAAATGAAATTATGGCTCAGATGCAGCCAACTGAATGCCGAATCAAATGATACAAGGGTATCTTTACAGGGGTCTCTTATTTACTTTCCAAGTATGGCAGATCGAAAGAATTGGCTCGATTTGTATATAGATAGATGGGAACTATGAGGAACCCCTAACATGGCTAGATCGATTCAATCCTTAGATTTATAGCTTAATTATAACTACATAAAATAGCGACAAAAATCGCTATATACAAGCTTAAAGAAGCTAGCTTTATAAACGTTGAAAACAAATAAGTTCATTGCATTGTATTGTCCGAAAACTATATTTATTTTTCTTAGAAAGTCAGAATTATAAAAACAATGTATATCCATTTAAATGTATATCCATAAACGAAAGGCTGATCATCTATTAAAAAGCGGCTCAAATAGAAATAAAGCATACAAACCAAATAATTATATATATAAATACTAGCGGGTTAATTAATCATTGGCTTAAACCGTGGCAACTTTTGTGCTTTAAATTTAAATTTAACTTTTCCACTCAGCTCCCGCGCGAAAATTGTAGTCAATTGTAATCTGCCTGGTCTTACCCGGTCCAAGTTTTCTGGTTCAAATTTTAGACATCAATTTTCCACGCATTTTCCTCCCAAAGAGGAACTTCAATTCAATGTTTGATAATGAAGTGGACTGACGTCCACCGAAAAAGGAACTAAAAGTTGAAGTAGACGTTTTCCGTCCAAGAGTGATGGATTTTGCAAAAATTGTGTGAATCTCGCATCAAATAAATTTTCACAAAGACATTTGAAAATTAGTTTGAAGCCCAATAAATTGTAAACAGAAGAGTAGTGAAACTTCCGCTAATTTTCCACTGCTACGGGTGGAATTTAAAAACTTTTAAACGTATATTTATTACGTTTTTATGTAGGGCTTTAAAAATAAGTTTGACGCTAATCAAAACCCAAAACTTAACCCACCAAGTTTTTAACCCCCCCTTTCCATCAAGGAGGCATGGATTTTGCGAAAAGTGTGGAATTAATTCGAACAAAGATCTTTTACTATAGCTTACACTATAGAAAATTCCGTTTTATTGCTTGATCTTCATTAGATTTTAGGAATTACCGATGGTGCATATTTATAAAAACTAAGGGGCGAGTATGGGATATTATAAAAGGGTCAAAGTTTGCTCTACTATAAAGTGAATGTACATACCATAAACCTAAAGCTGGAAGTCGATATTTACTGATTTGAGGAAGTTTGAGCGGTTATAAAAATTAAAGGCTGCTATAAACGAGAAAGTGCATTCCAAATGCCAATTTCTCGAAATCATAAATTTCTATAAATCTGCAAACTATTTCTAATTAAGTATATTTATTAGAATAAATGTATTCATTCCCGAAGATATGCTCCGATATTAGCTGAACTACATCGATTTACTAGGCTCTAAAAAGTAGTATGAGCGATTTAAGAAGTTACAAAAATATGTCGAAATTTAAGGCAAAACTCAGAGTTTTTCGGAGCTAAAGCCAAATCGATATTCGTGTGCGCTGACAATGGCACCTGAAACCTTGTCCAGATCTTATCGCGCTCTATACCACGGCAAACTTTGAACAACATGGCATGGACTTTGGGGTGGTCAATTCTGCTTCTTTTTGGCCCTGACATTGAAAACGGTTTGGTCAGCCTGCGATTAGTGGCCAGCTCTTTGCTACTGTGTGGACTGTGTGCATAGAAGGCGAACTGAGAACCAATTTCCGAATTGGTTTTTTAAGACTTCGGGGTTGATTTTCCAGTTGCACGCAATGCCAGATAATTGTACCAAATGTTGAGTTTATTTAAAAAAAAAAAAAATCAGTTTAAACTGGATTTTCTTTGGTTAGTTGGCTGCATTGAGTGATAAATAAAAACATAATTTTGTGGATTAGGTTATTCTGATTCAGATTTAGATCAATTTTTACATTTGTATGAATAAGACATTCAGGCAACATAAAATAACATGCAGAGAATGTGATCCAATAATGCACGATGTAGTTAAAGATTTGATAATAAAGTCTGTGAGATGTGAACTTTGATTTGAGAATTCAGATGGCTATATATATATAAATACATATATATCTAACATTGATGGTAATATAACCTTGCAGAGTTTATATGGAAAGGAGTTCATTGCTCATAACTTATATTTGTCTAAATCAAATCTAAACCATTTCTTTTTTTTTTTTGAGGTTTAGGTTTTGATAAATATTCATTCAAAGTTGAAACAAAGAAAAAAATGAGTACTAATCCAATTAGGGATAATCACACTCAAGCTCGGAAAATGAACATAATATTTTCAGGTTTTTCGTCAAATCCGCTTCGAACTTATTATCACAGATCTTTGTAAAAACTTATTGAAATGAAAAGCTGAAAATATCTCGAAAATGTTAAGATATCAAAATCTTTTTTAAAAACTGAAAATTTCTCGAAAACTTTGAGTTATCCAAACCTTTTTTACTTGAATTTGGAGCGTATGGAGAAAGAATAAAGCTACATCATTCGAATATGTTTGGTTACGGACTTTGTCGGGCATAGTTTTTTGTTTCAATTCAATTCTTTACATATCAAGTCACTCGCTTGATCAAAAATTCTCTTACACTATCAATCGGTGTAAGCTATAGTAAAAATTGTAGTTTCCAAGTTCCTAATGTTTCGTTTAAAAATTTTCCCATCTTAACCGATTGTCAATTGGAACGGGATATACAAATTCTTGAATTTTTATTTATATCTGTTACACTAAAAAAAAAAGCTCCACACCACAGGAACCTAAAACTTAATCTGCAAGGGTATTTAATTTTCGGCATGCCGAATACAGTTTATTTGTATTATTTTTGTAACCTAATTATGGATGAGAATTTTTGTGAAAATTGTATTCTGAATTTGAATTTGAGTTGATAATAATGGGCAACACGAAAACACTTTGCTAAATTTGATTGTTAGTATACTTAAAGCTTTGTCTAGATGAAAGTTTTTAGTTTCTCTTTCATCCTTATAGCGTAGCATAGAAGTTGTGGAAATATATGGACTTCCAAATCCTAGTCGATTGCGTTGTTGTTAGTTGTTTGTTATTGTCAATTGGAAATGTTAAAACAATGAAAATTAAAAGTACGAAAAAAAAAACACAATATTATTATACACAAATTAAATAAGTAGATTCGTTAATATGGGTATATCTCTAAGCTTGCGTGCATTGGAAAGACTTATCGGTGCCATCAAATAATTCGAATAATAACTCTCTAATTATATTATCGTGAGTCTGTGCTAGGCATATAACAATGCACCTAAAATCCAAGTGTACAAACTAACGCTACAAACACAAATTATTTTTAGGGTAAAGCTTTGAGAAGAGCATGCACATCGGTGAGAAAATTTTAACTTACCGGCAATTTTAGAATTGAGAAAATACGGATCCGGCTGCCAGAGGTTGTCGAAGAATTCTGGAAGCAAGGTGACATAATCGTCGCCCTCCTCGAATATGTCATCAGATATCTCCAGTCGCGATTCCAACCATCGTTGATGTATAAACATGTCAACTCTGCAAATGACTGGCTATATTATGGCGATTCCATTGCGAGCTTAAAGCTGTTCCTGCAGCTCACTTACCTAAAGTCCATATCCTCTACATTAATTGAGTTAATATCTACAACAAATATGCTAAAGTCTACTATCACTGGGGAGCCCTTCTTTGAGGGCGGCCGCATCTCTGGAAATAAGCATAGGAGAGTCAAACATCAGAGCTGAGAATTACATTATTTTTCTATAAATAAGTTAAATCGTTTGCTCATGTAGACCAATTCTTATAATATTTTAATACTAAATTAGCAGGTACAATTTATTATACGTGAGTTTGTTCCTCTTTAACAAATTGGGCTAACCAGCCCCTTTTCAAGTTCAGGGACAGCGTGTGGGTTTGAAAATCAATAAATATTCTGGCTTTAAGCATTCAGGTTCAGCCTAAATTAATATTGTTTGCTTTATGTGAATGTTCATGCAGGAGTCTAAATTTTACCTCGAAATGCGGTAAGGTTTCGTTTGAACATCATAAGGAAAATAATAAGAAGACAGAAGCAAAAGTATTTCGAATTCCTTTCGTTGAAAGAATTCTTAAAGGGTTCTCAAAAGTTAACTAAGTTAAAAGGTCTCCAGTATAATAAAGGGAAGAAAATAAAGCTTTTGCTCAATTTTTCGTAAGACCTTCACACTGCATAAAAATATATATGCTTGTTTAGACCTACTCAAATGGAGACATTCAGATCAGGAATAATATTAATCTTGAAGTTATTTTATATTTTAGATAGATATTTAAAAATAAATTTGACTCCATCCACAAGTTGGAGTCAACGTCTTCCGCCCATGTTAGTCTTGTGCTGAGAATTTTGATAGGGTATACAAATTTTAGCAAAGATCTTTGACAATGTGTTTGAAGCCGATCCGATTAGTAATCAAAAAATGTTCATCCATTTTTACATTGTTCCACATTTGTAGATGGAACGTCTTTGCAAGATTTCATCCTGTTTCCTGGGATACTGTCGACTGTGAGACCAGTTGAATTACATAGGTTAAGCTTGGTCATTTAACTTTAGATACAAGATCAAGATACATGTATCTTACTAAAGTATCTTACTAATCCGTATGGATATATATTACTCAAATCGTCTAAAATAAAATTATTTTCGCCAGTAAACAAATGAGGCTAGCTTTGTTACTAGAAAGACAAACTGGGACTTCTGGAAATATTGATTTTCGAAATAAGTGTCATCAGTAATTATATTTCAATATGCAGACGGAGGGTATAATGGAGTATACAAACATAGTGCGAGGATGTTTCGATTACATAGTTGACAAATCTTAAATTTAATAAAATATCTATTAGCTATAACTATTTTGAGTGCATCAATTGAAATAAACAGAAACAATATTTGAATATATGTAGGAGTCTATGCAAACTCATCTCAGTTTCTTTTCTCTCTCGTTTAATCGATCGCAGTTTTATTTTTTTTTTTCTGTTGACGTCAAGGACCAACATACATGTGTACACTGAGGTACACATATGCATGCATTATATGCATAGACGTACACAGGTACAAATAAAAGTAGTAATTACAGAATTACGAACAGGTACAGACTGAAGACAAAAGGGGGCCTCTGCGGCGAGGGGCCCTGAAATTGGCTGTGTCACGATAAACGCCACACGCAACGCTCCCCAACAATGGCAAAAAACGAATCACACAAAAAATGAACCGCAGCTTTTTTTCGTGAGCCGAAGATTTAATATCCTTATTAATATAATTATTACTGCTGGCCTTTCAAGCCGCCAAAAGTGTTTAAATATTATTTATAGAATTTGCTAAAATATAGAAGTATTCTCAACCACAAATCAAATATACCCTGCAACCATTTAAAATGTGTAAAAAGGGCTTTAATAGTTTTTTACTAAAATAAGTCACACGCAAAGAAAGGAATCTCTGAGCCCAAACGGCAACTCAGTCTATCCTATCTGTCTATCTAATTTTAATTTTTAAAAACTTTAAAATTTTATAAAAAATTACCATAATTTTTATTGCATCTAGGAAAAAATATAGACAGGAAGGCAGAATTTGAATTATTCAGCTAGATCCAGAATAAATATAAATATACATAAAATTATTGATATACCCCTTAAAGATAAAATCGGTTAATTTAGTTATTGTAAAAGTTGTGATACCCTCTAAAAGGGTATTAGAAACTGTTGCAATTAAAATACAAGCGTAGAAAAGTCAAATGATTTAATGTTATTTAGTCACCAGGGTTAAAAAAACATATATTTAAAAAAGCCCAAATGTGGATTTAAAAGTATAATGCAGTCGAACGAATGCACGAGGAGAACGTGAAATATTGCAAACTTACCCTTGACATAATTAGGCGGAAGAACCACTCGCGGCTTCGCTGTGTAGTTGTAGTTCACGTGGGCGTCCGTGGCCTCACTAATCCTGAAAATGGCCAAAAATACAAATACAATCGGATGCCATATATAAATACTCAAGGCAAATATGCATACACGTCTATCTAGTATACCCCTTGCATATAGCATATACTGAGGTTCATGCATGTCTGCAAAGCGTGGCCACCTTTGTAAACTTTGTCAATTTAAGTCTGAACTGGAAATGAACTTAATTCGTGCCTGGGCCTGTCTGACGGTAAATATATGCAGTTTGTGTACATTTCATTTTCGGTTTTTACCTGACAATCCTCAGCTAGCTTAAAGCTGACTAATATTCGTGCTGGAACCCCATTTGCCATGATTCAATTGACCTTGCTGGGTTTTTGTCAAACGGATTGCCAATACTCGGAAATACCGTGCAAAGGTTTGAATTGGATAAAGTGGGAACAAAATGCCGCATATGCAATTTCAAAATGTGACATGTGCCTAAATGCATATATGAGTTGTAATATCACGAACCTGTGAGAGGACGCGCTGAATTAATCGGAACTAAAATAATGTAGTATTTCGAAAACCAATCTCATAAATCCAAACATTCATGTATGTACTTATGAATATTAGAGAATATACTTATAAGTATATTTATAAAAGACAAGCGTTTAAAAAAGTCTTTGGCTAATGCGAAATATTATTATACTTAGTCAAATCTCTTGAATATCTTGACTCTGTTAAAGCTCCATAACTAAAATCAAGTCGATAAACAACACAAGTTTCTATGATTGTCTGTCAGTTATTTAATTAATTTAATTACACCCGCAATTCCAAATAATATTAGTCCTTATTCTTTAATTACTTAATTACCGCTACGGTAACCATGGTATGTTACAGGTGGAAGGAGACATCTTCGTCCTTATAAGTGATATATTGATATATTGATCGCGACAAGCTGAATCAATATAGCCACGTCTGTGCGTCGTTGGTCTGTTCGTCCGTCTGTCCGTCATGTTTGTAGATTAAAACATAAATTGATTATTATAAGGTTTTACTTTCCTCCCTATATAATTGATATATAGTAAAATATTTGTAACCAAATCAACCCAAAACTATCCGACCATAATATTATAGTTTTTAATGTTGGTCAAATTTTGTGGTGAAAAAGGACGGACGAGATTTAAAACATCCTCCATAAGACCTTTGACCCCATTTCCCGCCCACTGGAGTACGTTTTTCGAAATCTATGATACCTGGAAACTGTAAGGCTTTGGGAAAATTGTGAAACACGCTTCTAATATATTTTACAAAGATCTTTGAAATTGAGTTTGAAGCTGATCGGATCTTGAATCTTAGGTTGTTATTAACATGCAGAAATTTATACAAGCTATAACCAAATATTTGATGTAGGTTCTTGTATAGTATTCACAGATAAATCTCAATTTACTGTGGCATACCTCCTCCTAAAAGATTTATTATTAAAGGCATTTTCCAAAAAGAAAGTGTTTTTATAGGGTATATCCCTGTCGACTAGAGCACTCTTAATTTTTGAGTTTGTATTAAAAATAATATCGTGGTAGTATCAAGAATGATTTATATACGATGTCTTAGCTGTCCTCTACATCAGCAACTTTAATCAAATCTTAATGGAACTTTCATCCAGATAATTCGTTTTACTTTAAAGATGGAAAATCTTTGACTATCGTACATATTTACACTTACATATATGAGAGGGTTGGCAGGGGTAAAAAATTTTGAAATTGTAATCTGAACTCACCACATCAATATGAAAGTCAATCCAAGCGATATGAATGCTTTTTTGTTATATTTGCCCAGCATGATGTTGACGACGAAACAGAAAATTAAACCAAACCTCAAATCATCTCACTTTACATCGACGTGGGAATTTCATAATTCGCTTTATGAAATCTGCAACACGATAGCCAAACCGAATTTGAATTTAATATAAAAAAAGAAGAAGAAGAAAACTCCTTAATTCACTAGCACTAGATGGTCAGTCGGAGGATTACACATATATAGATGCGATTACGGAGCAGCTAATTATGTGTGCTCAGCTGGGCTCTTGGCTGGACTTCGACTCGGTCGGCGTTCAAATATCAAATAAATAAACCGCCGTCCACTCGCCAGCTACGACAGTCCATGGCATATGCCATATGCCATATGTAAATACACTCGGTTCTAGGTACATATCTGTCCGTCCGAACGTTTGACGGTAACTGAGTCTGTGTATATCACTTATCTCATGATTTCTGCTGTCGGATATGCACATATGTTCATGGATTGTGCGAGATTATCGGGCCATCTGTGTGGGAGGCAGGCGCGAATGCCGCAAATGATTGCCACTGCGGCGATGCTCCAGCTCCAGCTCGCCTGGCAGCCGGTCAAGGCGTGTGCACACCTATACACACACACACACACACATGAAAGCAGATGCGGCACACTTCGCGCCTTCGGTCAATGTAAGACAATTGAATCGCGTGCCGATTCCACTTAAGCGCGCGCGCTTTAAATATTATCGCTACAATTTGGTCAGTACGCAAAGCGGGCTACGTAGATACATATATAAATACGGTTTATATAATTGCTGAATATAATATATATATATATGTGGGCTTGGCGATAAAGGTTTGACACCATGATCGGCAGGCATCCACCCACGTTGTGATTGCTCAAAGAACAAAATACTTAAGAAACTTGAAGAACTCAATCGGATTTTTATAGAAAATTGTTGAGGTGGATTAATTTAATTGGGATTCGATTTATTTTGTTTATAAAATTAGCAATCAGAATCATATTTGTACCGAACCGGTTCAAAGCCGGAATTTTAAATAATTTTTTACAATGAGCCCAATTTTAACCGAGAGCATTTAAAAAGAACCGCGAACCGAACGTAGACTCATCTCCAGGCATAAAAAACTTGGAAATTGACCAATGGACTTGTAAAAGTTGAAGTTTTATTAAAGTTTTGAAAATTTACGACAATTCTAGCCATGACCAAACCGAACCTATAGACAGGGAGTTATGTCGAACCGTAAATCGTTTAAAGTCCTGATTTATATATTCATAAATGTTCTGTGTATTGGGTATCTGATGTATTGAAGGTACTTTGGCGCAATTATGATTCTGCCAAGTATTTCGCTTGTAATTCCAATTTATGTTACATTTAGAGTATATAGCTTATAGGAAGCGTCAACGACATTGACATTGCCATTGCCTCTGACAATGGATATGATAGTTCTCGCCATTGAAATTAAAAATTCCACTTCGCTGAGTGGACCGCAAGATGAAGTATATCCGGCTAAGCCCATATACGTACAGAGGCAGGCACATTCGAGATGTAGATCTGGATCACACACACATATCTACTCGTATATACTCGTGTATATATATGTACATCTGAATCAAGATCAGTGTTTATTGTAGATTTTAATTGTTTGCATATTTATGGTATATTTTACATTTCGCTCGAAGACCCATACATACATATATGTATATGTATATACATATGTATGCATGTGTTTATATTGTACTAATTGAGTCTGAAAATCCATTTATATTAATTAGGCATGCTGTTAAATGCGGCTTAGATTATTCTGTTAAATTAATATAAATTTATTTTAAATGAATGCATAAATGAAAACAAAAAAAAAAAAACACTTTTCTCTTCCCATTTTTGTGGCAATTTTAATTGTTGCTTTCTTTAAACTTTATTGAAACAATCTTTAGCCATATGCATGCACAGATTTTACACTTTTATTAATATATATTTGATCAACTTTCGCTCAAAGCTGATTTATTCACATCATTTATTTGATTATACTGTAACCGAATCGAACGGCTTTTTAGCCCACTTATAACCGAATGGAAATCCGTTGACACGACCAGCTTAGCTAGCTAGCTAACATTTGTTGTTAGCTGGACATTAGAATAAAATGTGGACTTTACCGCGTTGCTGGCCGACGCGCGTTCGAATCCTTTCGGCTTCGCTCAGGAACTGAACGGAACTGAAAATGCGCGAATTTCTTTGCTGCTTTCTTGCCACTTTAATACAACGCGGTCCCCAACAGCAAAAGCGACGCCGGCGCTGACGGTGGCAGAGACAGGGGCAGAGGGGGAGGGGCAGAGGCAGAGGGGCACGACAACTGTGACGGTTTCCATTTACAAGGAGTTGCGAGTATCGTGCTGGGAAAGCGTGCGAGCTCGAGCTTGGTTCCAAATTGGTGTTAGGTTCCGTTAGGCGCCATGGAAATGTGGCCATGTGGATTTTTAATCATTTGCAATAGTACGTGGTTGTTTAGGTATTTAGTATAACACAGAGTCGGTAATTAGAGTCTGTAGTACGAATGCTTCGGGTGATATATCTAGTATATTTATACGTTTGGTAAATAATAATCATTATGTATATACTATAATACGAGACTCGAACTCGAATTCGAACTCGAATCGTAGCTTATTTGATTTGCTGCTTTGTTAGAAGATGAACATAATGCTTATATTTCATTTAAATATACATACGTAGTTATGAATATATCGTAAAACTATAATTTCCATAATTTAAAGGTCATCATTATGACGAAAGTGTAAGCCTAATGTTATACCCGCACCTGAAAACCACATAGACATAGACATGAAATACCCAAACACAGTATGTCTGCACCCTTCCGTCAAACCACAATGCTCTATAGTATTTCGTAAAATGACTGACGTCGGTCTTTCCAATGAAATCTATGCAAATTGACTTGAAATTTCCACAAAATAACCAAACACTAAACAGGTGAGACGGCAACTTCATGCAAGCTTTCATATGTACATACTTTGTGTGCACATACTATCTATACTTATCAAAAAACAAAATAAAAATTTACTACATACATACATGTGGCATATATTTACGGACTAAGTCCACGATAGTTTGATGTTACGGCGACTTTCCAGAACCAACAACCACTTAGAATAGTAGAAGCTAACGCTAGCTGGAAATTGCGCCTACTTTCGCTCACGTCTCGTGGGAAAGTCTAAACGCTGTTTTTTTTAGGACTCAAATGCGCTGTAATGAGTCTACATATATTTACATTTACCCAATTTATGCAGACAAATATTCGTACATTAAAAAGAAAACAGAAACTTGATGTCGCCATCTGTCACAGGACAGTTTGCACAGGACACCTCACATACAAAAAATGTGTGAATTATCAATGAAATTTCGATTTCATTTTATACATATTTACATACCCATTATACGTATATTTATACCGTATGTATGTTAGCTTGAATTCGAACAAATCGGCTGGCGTCGCCATATGCCCATTCCGGCTGCACTTGGCCACACTTCTTCGGCCTGCACTATTGGGGTTTGGGCTAATTGTTGCGTGGCTCCTAGTTGTCTTTTTATTGCTGGTATAAATACGTATGCGTGTTGTATATACCTCCACAACAATATATATATATATAAGCACGTGTACACGTAGGGCATCACAGAGCATATGAGGATTCCCATGAAGTAAGTAAATACTGGAATATGGAAACAATTGTGCATATTGCAAATATCTAAAAAAAAATCATCTTGAGCAGCCGAGTCGACCTAGCCATGCTTGTCCGTATCCTTATACATTTATCTCGGAGACTATATCAAATCCAAAGTAGTCTTTCAGTTTAAAGGATATCGTCTTCTTATGGCTAGAATAGGAACGATTGTTCAAAAATTAGGTTCATGAATGAACAATTTTTTTGTTTTTTTTTTAAAATATATTTACCGAATTTCAGATTAAATAGTTTCACTTTGATCCCTATATAATTGCAAAACTTTATCAACATCGAACCTTTATATCATACAGCTCAATATAAATGTTTTGTTTTAAAGTAGTTTTAAATAAACTCTTCAATTACAATTTCTTCATTCATACTTACAAAACCGGAACATTTGGAACGATTGGAAGATTGGTGTGAGAGCATTTCTAAGCCATATCTGTACAAAAGGGTAATTCAACTTTAGCGTGCCACATTGAGCTTTTCTTTCTTGTTTTTGGACTTTTATACTTTTTCATTTTCCGCTATCTAATGATCGCAGGCTTTGTGTTTATACCATATTTTGCAAGTCAATATTTGGTATGGAAGGTTTTATAAGATGCGGTTCTATTCAGATAAGTCCAGAATAGCCGGAAAGCCTCTGTCACGCACACATGATGGAGCTAAATGATTATTTTTAAACGTAATTTACTGAAATAAAGATTAAATACTATCAGTAACACAAGTTATTACATTTGGAAGGTTTAATGGCAGCGTGGAGCGTCCTGTTCTTTGTCCAAAAACTATTATGTGAGTGCGAAACATTAAAATGTTATCCTTTCAGTAAAGTTCCTTTGTAAGCAGACCGACATCCGGCGCTGGGAGTAGTCAACAGAATATTTTGGTCACAGGATAAAAGTAAATGGCTAAGGCAGTTCATTTGGAAAACTGAACATTTTAGTTAAATATATTTATGTACACGCATACATAGGATATTCAAATATCTTGATTGGGATTTAAAACTAGCATATCCAAGAATGTGCATGTCTTGGCACTTAAGCTAAATATAGGCATCGAAAAGCCTAAACAATTGTAGAGCCTTGCTGATTAGTACGCTGGTTGATTTTCACATGAGTCTGCCGCTTCTTCTCTTCCTTAAAGGCCTCGGCGTTGGCCTTCCTTTCAATGCGACGTTCGTTGCGGTAGTCTTTGAGCAAACGCTTACGTTCGCGTTTCTCTTCGGGAGTTTCGTCTTTCGGGCGTATGGAGAGAACGCTAAGTGTTGATAGCACCGATTTGGCACACATCGATTTTGGACCAGCTGCGTTTGATGAATCATCAGCCAAGTTGGCTAGCGCCTTGGCTGTCAGCTGAGCGTCGGCGCCGCCACGAAGCACATTCGCTGGAAGACCCGTTTTGGGATCGATTTGAATAGGCGCTGAACCCCGACTAGGGCGCGGCTCGTCGATCAGTTTGGGATGGTTATAAATATTTGAATAGGTAGACAGTATGGATTCACAGTCCCATTTCTTTTCTTTGCTGTCATCCACCTCGTAATCGACTAGCTCTTCCGTTGGATCGTGTTCACCATCAACAACTTTAGAGTATTTCTTGATGCGCTCGCGATCCCATTCTTTGTCGTAATGTAAGTCCTCATTCTTCTTTTTAAATTCCTTAAAACATTGCATTACCACGGGATGCTTTTGATGCCAGTGGCCCTCGATATCTTCTAATGCAAGATCTCCTAGCTCGGGATCGTCGTAGCTTGCAAAGAATTGCTCGAAACGATCATCCAGCAATGAAAGTTGCTCATTTCTTCGGATGACACTAGATGACATTGAATACTCAGTGAAGCGCGACTTGGTTTCTTCATCGTCGAAACGTCTTTTCCGCATCAGCGGGCCAAGACGATCCATTAGCTCGTCTGCGTTTTCATCTTCATTTAAATTGTCCGAGTCAAAGTCCATATCATTCTCGTCGTTCTCTTCTTGCCAATCTTCATCGTCTTCGTCGCCTTCTTCGTCATCATCGCTGCCCATCGCTTGCATAACGAAATCGTCTTCCAACTCCTCGTTGTCCTCAAAATCGCTATCGAGAGCTGCAACAACTTCTGGATCCCAATCTGGACGCGGACCAGGCTGAGGAGCTGCTTTGTTTAACATTCCTTCAGACTCTTCAAATTCACTTGCAAATACGGAGCTTGGAAGCACAAGTAGGTTGCGAGATTTAGAATCATCTGCGGTCGACTTTTTCGCTTGGTTGGGGCTCTCCATATATTCCCAGACCACATCATTTTCTCGCTTTTTCATATGCTGCATGTAGTCGTAGTCATCGTCAAAGTGAATTCCGAACTTTTTTTGCTCCTCTTGGCGTTTTTCTGGATCTAAAGGTTCTTCATTTTGTGGCTTAGCCTGCGACTGCCTAGCTGGCGCCTCCAAGAGCACACGTTGTGGAGCAGTTTCATCGGTCACCAACGGATCGTGCTGACTACGATGTACCAAGTGAAATGTGACAGCCTTTTTTCTGTCGATATATGGCTTTTTCCCTTTTACCTACGATTGAAATTCACTCAAAACATGTGTTTGTTTTATTATTCAATGTTACTTTACCATTTTAAACGCTTCTGCTGCCTTTTTTATTAACAAAAATCTGAGGACTTTACTAATTGCGTTCCAAAACACATGTGGTGATTGGAGATGTGTTTAGAGCTGCAAACTAATCGATAAGAATATGATAAACTTAATATCGATATTTTCAAGTTTAATTGCGATGAGAGCTATGTCGTATTCGTTACTCTTAAATTATATCGTCAATAGAATATATCTATTCAATTCTCATTCAATGACTTTTAAATACTTAAATAATTTATGTTAGCCGTAATAAGTTCTGGTCAAATAAAATCTGGTAATTCATCTTGTTAAAGTAGGTTACACACATTTCAATAAAAATAATCTGTTACATCTGATTAACTTATCGAGTCCTCAAACATATCGCCAAGTTCCGAAACACCAATCGCAAGTGTTGATGGGCGAGTTCTTTTCATTCGTACATCTCTAACTAATATGGCTTGCATCCCTGTTGTAAACTAAACATAATTGTTGTTATTATTACCTTTCCTCAATTGCTGTAAAATGGAGGAAAACGAGAGCACGTCGGAAGTCCAGAACAGCGTCGCCAACGGTAAGTGGATGTTCAATAATCAATGCAGAATTTAGCTGACCTCATTTCATCACTTGTTCAGGAGATGATGACGCGACATACCAGCATAAATTGGAACTGCTCCAGACCGAGATGCGCAAAATGCAAAACGAGTTTAATACGCAGCGTGCAAAAATGAAGGAGCTGTATATGCAGAAGGAGGCCGAGCGCAACCAGCTTCAAGAAGAGTTGAATGAGTTAAAGACCCACCTGATGGTCGCTGATCTAAAATCCGAGAACGAAATGCAGTTGAAGGATATAAAAGCCCAAGAGGAGATATCATCGCTGCAACAGCTGGTGCAGGACACAATTGAGGAATCGGCTATTTACAAAGCCGAATTGGAGCGCGTCAAACAAGAGCAGCTGCGCCAGCAACAGCAGCAGCTACAGCAGATGCAGCACCAAGTCACGGCAGAGCCATCAACCGGCTTGGCGCCACACGTCCTTAATCAGGTAAAGAAAACACTCGGAAGTGTACGAAAGTTGGGAAGCGATTCCTTGAACAATAGCTTCCAGTCGGAGAGCGCCGATGGCAATACGCGCGGACCAGCCAAGACACATGTCAAGCAATATGTGAGTATAGTTTACATATTTGCAAATATATACAAATATATTCATACGTAAATTTGTTGAAGCAGGCAACAGAGGATGCCGAAATGATGAACTCAATAGTTGAGCAACTGCAGGAGGAAATGAAAGCCCTAAAGGAAAAGTTACGCGAAACAGATGAGCAGTTGCAGGCAAAGAGTAGCACTTCGGAGCGCAGGGAAGAGTCTACAGTAACAATCACAGATGCTTCAAATGGCTTGCACAAGTCCACATCAACAGATTTGGTGTCCGCACAAGCAGCTTGTATGGGCTGCAACTCGGCGAAACAGCTTACGGATGAGCTGAGTGCGCAGGTGAAACAGCAGCAAAAGCAGCTCGATGCCACACAGAAGCAACTTGTTGAGTCGCGGGAACAGTTGAGCAAAGAGGCAGCGCTGCGCAACGACTTGGAGAGTCAGTGGCAAGCAAAGCGTGAAGCACACAAAAGCGAAGTACAAAACCTACGCGAGCAAGTTAAAAACAACGAGCAACAGCTTTTAGACATGCAACAGAAATTCCTGGAGACCAAGGATGAGGTCATGCGACAGTTGCAGCGCGTCACAGATGACCGGGAGCGGGTTAATCAGCAGTTAGAAACGCTGCAGGCTGACAACGATTTCCTTTCCGGTCGGTTCCTGGCGACATCCGAAGAAATTGAAAACCAATATATAAATCTCCCAAATACTGTGGTCGAGCTACAGGAACTTATGCTACGGCAGCAGAGCGAGCTGATACAGGCGCGCGTTAGCAGCGAATACGAAAAACAGAAGTGCGTTACCTCGCTGGATGAGATTCAAATATTGCGTGCTCAACTCGAGGAGAGCAACAATGAGCGTCGTGCCTACAAGCGCAAAGTTCAATTAGATATTAAGTCGCTACAGTAAGTTGTTATATATATATATAACAAAATGTAAGTGAATCCATTGCCATTTTCTGCAGAGATCGTGTTACGGAGCATCTGGTGGCGGTCCAGTCACATGAGTCATCAAAAACTCTTTTGGAGCGCAAAGAAGCTGAGCTGAACAAACAGCTGTCCGAGTGCCGGGTTGAGATTATAGAGCTTCAGGACGCCAACGTAAGTTTCTGATCAATTGTCTAATCAGTCAAATTCACGGTCGACAAATTTGCAGGAAAAACTAACAAAAACAAATTCAGACTTTAAGTCTAAGATAAAGACGCTTCAGGAGGAGTTGTCTACAATGGAAACGGTGCAAAAGGACTTTGTCAAGTTATCACAAAAACTGCAGGTAAGCTCCGCATCCAATGAAAGATATATTAGCTCAAATTTATTTTAATTATAATCGTAAAATGTCAACAATTATCTTATTCAGTTAAGCGTTAGACTTTATGCATTCCCATTCGATTCTTCTAGATGACCTTGGAGGAGCTGCGTCATGCTGACACCGAGGTGCGCTGGCAGGACGATGATGACGTGAACAATTGTCCCACGTGCAACGCCGGCTTCACGGTGATGGTACGCAAAATACATTGCCGCCATTGCGGGCACATCTACTGCGATAAATGTCTAACAAAAACGGTGCCATCGGGCCCACGGAAACGTGTCGCCCGTGTCTGTGATATCTGTCACACGTTGCTCACGCCACACACCGCTCCCTACTTTAGTCATGAGCCGCAGCAGTCAAACTAGTCGGTTCCCAGCCCTGGCGGTGCGTCACTATTATTACGTCGGCAAATATTTATTGTTTTTTGTATGTATGTTTATGTACTGTGTACTGCAATTCCTCCTTTTGTTTATATGTTTTTGGGGAGTTTGTGTTCAATCGTAGTGTCCTTGTCGAATTAAACCGAGTCATATCCAGCCACAAAAGAAAGTGAACATTTCTTTTCAGACTATTTAACTAATCTAACTCCCTAATGTGTTAGCTACTTTGTAGATAAGCTCCCAAATATTGAATTTAGAACGCAAGCTAAGTAAAAATATAAAAATAAAAAACTATGTACACTTGACGTTCGTGCTTCTCATTACTGTGAGTTACTTGAACCAAGTCCGCCTGCAAATTGAAGAATAATAATCATATTTGTTTTCCGTATTCCGTAAGGCAGGGTTTCATGCAACAAGTATGTCTTTTATTTAAAAATCAATGCAGACAATTTGGCAATTTTTGTTAACAAGTAACAACATCAAAAATATATCAAATTGTGATTTCATAACACTTTTGTATTCATGGGGTGGCGAGGATATTCTAAGTGTATGCATGCACACATATAAATTCGTGTACATGTTCACTTCATATATTTTAATAATAACAATATGGGCATGCCCGTTAAACTCTGTATGTACAACTCACTTCATCTAACAATAAGTCAACTTTAAATTGTTTATATCTAATACTGCAATCTTCGCATTCAACAAAGCAATAACTGAAAAGGCTTTTTATGTAACTAGGAGGAAAAACAAAGAAAAACAAAACAAAATCACGCACACACATAGGTAAAGGGGAATCACATTTTCATATAGGGCAATTACAGTTGGCACACAGTCATTTTCTGAAACGAGAACAAACGTAAATGTCACTTTAATTTGCTTCTCTGACAAGCACTTGTAGTTTTGACATTAAGAGTCAATTATTGCAACTTACCTCACCAGATAAATCGGCCGGCTAAGGCGCCCACTAACGCTACAGCTGTCACGCCCAAAAGGCTGATGATACGACTGCTGGGAGCTGTATAAAAATTAGAGAAATATATGATTAAAACTCAGGTTTGCCAAGATGTTAAAGAATATGATATGTTACAAAGAAAATAAACTACAATAGCCAGAAATATCAATTGTTCTCTGACCAGAATTGATGTTTCTTTGAAATTTCTGTTGGCTCTAAACTAAATGTTGTTAGATCTATTATGGTGATATTTGTAAAACATTGAAGCAGAAGAAAAATCTGCAGATGGGTGATATCTTATCTTACATTAGAAAAATGTGCCAAAATTAGAACAAATATAGTATAAATGATTATTAAGACACTTACGTAAAAGGTTTGGCGTTTAACGAACGCGTCATAGATGCGACACTCGTTAAATTGACAGAACAGATATAGATGCGAGGCGAGGCGAGGCGAGACAAGACGAGACGAAGGCAAAGTCAAAGTCGAAGACAAATGAAAAGCGAGTTATACATATATAGAAGTGTGTGGCTGTAATTCGATCTGGATGTGGACGTCATTCCATATCTTTTGAGTTCAAGTCCTGGTTCTTGTTGAAAGGGTGACTTAATTCGTTGTGAGCTTGTGCTTATTGAAGACTTTGATTGTTTCAGAGAAAGTTATAGATGGAAAGAGCGACAGTGAAAGCGATAAAGAACTTAAACTATTGATGGGCAATGGATACGCGCTTCAGATGGGGTTGGTACTCTTATAAATAAATTCATTTATCATCTATTTGAGCATCTCTGCGAGCTTCGACTTAAAACTAAATATGTAGATTGCTCTGAGGCCAGAGCAACAAGTGTAACAACTGTGGGGGAAGACAATGCCGATGCGTGGATAATGAATTCAATAATGACGGCGTTCAAATTGCTTTGTCGAGATGCTTGGCATTGCTGTTCTATTTCTCGTTTTCACCTGCAGCGCCCGTGTTGCCGCTCAGAGAGATCTGGCGTCCGTATTTCGCCAGCCATTCGATGATCACGCCGTTGGTCCAGCCAAAGCCCGTCTGCACGCCGTACTCCCCACCGCCACCGTGTCCACCAAACTTCTCCGCGTCGTACTAAAATAGAAGATGCAACGCTCAAGTAACCTGACTAGATGTATATAAATATAATTAGTTACCTTTTCAAACATTGCAAGGGTCTCGCGATATGCCTCAAAATTGGACTTGACCCATCGCTGGCCCCAGCGTTGCGAGAGCTCCTTGGCCTCTGGAGTTCCCAGATTGTCAAGACCCTCGACAAGAATATACTGCATCGGCGCCCATACATTCGGGAAGTCCCACTGCTCACCGGTCTGATAGAGCGTGTTCGGGACGCCGCCTGGGAATGTGTCCAGTTTGTTATCTTCAATATACTTCAGCACAGATGTAGATATTTTCTCCGAATCGGAAATATTGTATGCCTTCACCCACAGCGGGGACAGATTGGTGGGCACGAAATAGTTGCGCGGCTTGTCGTTGATCAAATCATAGTCCAGCCAGCAGCCGGCTTCCTCGTTCCACAATACTGCCTGTATCGCCTATATAGTTCAATGTAGAGCAGAGTATGAGAGGATATTTATCACATTTGACAGCAGCTTCGTACTTACCTCCTTGATTTTCTGTGCCTTGGTCTCGTACTCTGTCATCTTTTCGACGTTGCCGGCCTTGGCGTGGAACTCGGCAATCATTTTGGCGTTCCAATAAAGAATTGCATTTAGCTCGACAGGGACAATGGAGCGGGTCTTGGCGTTTGTAAGGTTTCCAACATTTGTTCCATTTTCGTTGATGTACCATCGCGAGCTGAAGTCCATGCCCGACTCGGCAGCAGACTTTAGTTCGCTATAGTGATCCTCCTTTGCCGCCTCAGTGTGGAAGCTCTCCGATGTTTCCACGTCCTCACTGTACGATTCGGGGCGTGGACCGGCTGACGAATCCCTGTATGCAACTAGGTTATGTCCCTTTGCCTGCACGGTGTGGTTGTTAATAAAATATTCGAACTCGTGCTCCAGCACCTCCAAAGCATTGATGGCGAACAGATCGTCCTTTGTGAAATCCACATATGACTTAACCATTGCCGTTAGCAGCGGCGGCTGAGAACGACCCCAATAGTAGACGCGGCCGCCGTTCGGTATGAATCCGATGCGCTGCACCATGTTCAAAAAGTTTTCGATCATACCACGTGCGGTATTTCTCATCTCGCTATACAGCAGACCACGAATGATCCAGTAAGAGTCCCAATAGTAGAACTCAATAAAGCGGCCGCCCGGCACAATAACCGGATTGGGTACGGGAATAATCGAGTAATACTGAGGATTCTTCTGCACATCGTCTTTCATTTTACGTCCCAGCTCCTTCCAGATGTTGTTCAGGTCCATGCCCCATTGCCTAAGATCTGGATCGTGGACGAGGTCCAGAAAGCCAGGACGCTCAACCCAATCTGTTGGTGTCCACACATCCAACTCGGTGCCCTTCTCTCCAAAATGAGCCTAAAAATTATGAAAATAATATTGAAATTAAATCGTAAAGTCTGTAATTGCGTTTGAGTCGCACATCAACGAATTCCCGAATCTCGTCCCTGCTAGGTGTATTATTCTTTGATGCCATAAAAGCATCGAAGTCCTCCATGGTTTTCTCGGGAGAAGCCTTCAACTTCATGTCCACAAAAGTCTTCGAGTCCGGAAAAAGCTTGGCCATCTGTACGGTGTGCAGTAAGGGTCCATAACAGTATATTTCGCTGAAATAAAAAAGAGTGTTGCGAAATGTTGAAATACTTTTTGAATTTCTAATAAAACAATGTGCTTTGTAGGTCTTTGACGTGCACTCCATTACAATATTTCTTATTTTAAAATTGAGACTTTTTTTAAAGAATTAATTTTTACAAATGCATCTTTATTTAAACTAGTTTTCCTGCCCGCTTAGTAAAATGAATCAAATTATTATATTTATATCGCTTGTATTTTATCGTGAGTTTTTTTGGAACTATTATTTTGTTTTTTTTATTATAAAGTTAAAAAGATTAGTGTTATAACATTTTTTTATTAGTATTTAGTTTGATTCTAATTCTAATGACTTTTTTATATTTCCCATTTAAAAAACAAAAATCGACATATTGTTTTCGTCGCCCTTTAAAGCATATATGTTCTTGATCAGAGCGACGAGCTGACATTTGAAATTCCCGTTCCATTTTCAAAATATCAAAAAATATTGATTTTGTAACTTGGTTTTTGAAGTAACTTAGGAAGTATAAAAGCCATTAATACCGAATTTGCTTAAGTATACTCATAAGTATACGCTCTCCTTAAGTATACTCATATTAGCAATATTTTACTTTTTGAATACATCCCCCATTTTCCTTAATATTAATAAAATATTTCATTCTTAACGTTGAGTAAGCAAATTAATATTGTGCTATATTTTATGATTTGCGAAGAACCAGAATATTATATTGACTGAGGGGTACAGGGGATTTTTTAGTCGAGCATAGTCGTGTTTCAACTTGTTTTTCGAACATGAATATGTCGGAGTTTCTTTTGCAAGTAGAAAGGAATTGTTTGGATAATCTTAAGTACACCTCGTTCCTAATTAATAGCGCTAGGTAAAATAGATCTAAGAGCAGCCAGTGAATGTTATTGCTTGGATAGCTTGAAAACTCATTAGGCTAAACACTTATTAAGTGACCCCGGCCTTAACGACTTTTATAGTATTAAGAGCAAATACATTTTTTTTTTTTTTATTAATTTACAAGTTGGACTTTTAGCTTGAACAGCTTTGGCCCAATCCGGGCGAAACCTGTGACCGATGGGACCTGCCCAGAATCGAGATCGAGATGTTTGTGCGCTTAAATGCAGTTCAATTGTACTACATTATATATACGGGTGGAAACATTTTAATGTTAATATATAAAATATAAATTTTGAGAGCAGGAATTAATAAATTTCAGATTGAAATTCGCCGACCGGTTCGGATAAATGTATGTTTGTTCGTGTGTCCACAGTATAAGTACCAGGTACTTGCATATAAATGTTATATTCCATGTAATATAAATTCAAATACACTGATTATATGCCGTATACCACAGGGAGGAGACGAAGCACAGCGGTGACTACCAAACTTACCAGGAGGGAAAGTCGTAGGTTTCGTCGATTTTCACGATGGAATTAGCGCTTTCTGTGATATATTCAAACAGACTCCGCGCTCGCACCTGCGACAGGACTGCGAGGCAGCAGAGGATCGTTGCATATAAAACGTTTATCTTTGTCATTGTACTGGGGCAAAGGAACTGTGTTGTTGTTTTTTATTTTTTTTTTAAATATATTTTTTAATTAATTTATTATTTGTTTTATTTTATTTCTTTTTTTGCTGCTGGTTAATTAAACGCTTGGCCGCTCACTTGTTCACTGACGAGTACGCGACTGTACAGATATAATACACGCAGAGGTACGTAAGTAAGTACGGGTTAGTACCGAATTTATCGCACTGGCTGCGGCTCTGGCGTTTTAAAAAATACTCATTTGCAGCGCTGGCACAGTCGGGAATTGTAGTATTTATTATAAATAACTTAATATTGGGGCTTAGTTGCTGCTCCCTATTTAAATTGATTTAATTGGCATTCAGGATTTATGTATATCCAGGAATAACTACGTAATATCCCGATCAAACTGTCGCGCGCTCAACTGCTGCACTTTCCGCCAACGACACAGACACAACCTGCGCCCTGCCAGTGCAAGAATACTTCTAACTGTTTCGATCGTACTCATTTTATAAAATAAGTTGCCGAACGAAGCCAGCGACAGCAGCGACGACGACGACGACGAGAGCGCCGTTATTATTGCCGACCAAGAGCAAGTGATCCAGTGGTCGGCAGACAACAGCGGACACGAGCTGGGCAACGCGCACGAGCACGAGCACAAACACGAGCGAGGCAGGCGTTGGGCGGGGGGGTGTTCTATTTTTATATCAGCTGAGTAGGGATTGCAGCTGAGCCGCAGCCGCAGCCGAGGCGTGTGTACGGTATTTTAATTTATCCGTTAACTCTTATTGTTGTTCTTATTGTAAACGGCAACGTATTTATTTCTTTGATTTAATTGTCAGTCGCTCGCCCACTGTTATTTGCTTATTTAAGAAAATATCAACTACTCGCATCTTCATTATTTAAGCTTCAGTAAGTCTCAAAAAATGAAAGATTCTATTTATAAGTATGTATATAGCTGGTGAGGGTATTTTTGATGCCTATGCTAAATAGTTGGGAACAACCTTTAATAACTGCAACGATAAATAAACCAATTGCACTCACATTTCCATACTCGTACATGCATACATATATTATGGGCGTATCATCAACTGATAAATGCACGTGCATCTGCATTCTAATAGAGAGTAGAACTCAGAGCCCTTTAAAACATATACAGATAAATTTCTGGAGAAGTTTCACTTTTAATTTTTGTTAAAAGTCGAACAAAATTAGGATCTTGTTTTGATTTATAAGTATTACTAACTTACTGCGCAAGCTGCGATCGGCCTTAAACTCATTTTCAAAGCTATAAATAAAACATTTTTGAAATGTACTTTACCCATTTCGGAATATCCACCTCCCCTGGGTGGAATATGAGGGTCCAATGTTAATAGGCGACAGCTAAACTTACGGGCAAGCAGCTTTTTAAAATTTAAAGCACTTCATAAATATTTAATAATTACGATTCACCGATTTTGAAAAACCAATTAAACGGTTGAAAAGATTGCGGAAAACTGATTTTCAATGCTGTCTTAAATTGAGTTTGAAACAGTTTTAAATTTGGTTTGGTTCTGATTGAAAACAGTTTCGGAAAACTAGAAAATTTATATGGATACATTTATGGTTAAAAATCAAAAAATTTAACTATTGATAAGCCTAAAAATGTATATATGCGTATGAAACCTGCATTTATTTTGGCGTAGAACCGCTTTAAATTTGTATAAAACTGAACGATTTGTGGGCCTTAACAACATTCTGCGGTTGTTATTATCAAAATCTAGAATTAGTCACTCTACCGAGACTTTACTGTACAAATAAACCACAGGCAGTACACGTCCATATGTACGGGTGTACGATATGAACATGACAACTCATTGGGTGATAAGAAGAATGAGAACTACAACTCCAAAAAAAAAATGCTACGATTTGGGAATTGAGGCTTACCATAATGTATATGTAAATTAAATCAGCAACACACTAATCCAAATAATTAGCCGTGTTCCATTTACGATAAGCGTCAGACTGATTTGAGAAAACTAGAAAAAAAACCCCTTCGAGAAATGTACTGTATAGCTTTCAATCGTTTTTTACATATGGAAATGTGGTTAAGAGCGGGTTATTTGTTTATAAATATCGCGAATGGGGCTACTATTAAAGATCCCACGATTGGGAAACTACGCCAATACACAATCCGCAAAAAGCTGGTATTCCGCACTCTAAAATTATTAATTGCAACTATATAAGAATGTATAGAGGTGTTTCATTTATTAATACTTTTGCATACCAAATACAGTTCCATTTGTAAAATGCCCGACTATGCAACAAAGCAAACAAACTAAAATTACGCCGCAACGCTTTTAGATGTACGTGCATCCGTAGTTATACATATGTATATATACGAATATAAGTCCACGGGTACGGCTATAACAAGTCTTAATTGAACTGATTTTTATGAATACGGATGAGACTGTGAGCCCAAAATAATACCCGCAACGTCATACACATATAGAAATTGGCTTTGAAAAACGAATCTGCAGCCAAAGCTGCGCCTCAGCTGAGAAAAGCGCTGAGAAAACATGTGTATTTGCATGCAATATATATATATATACATATATATATATATATATATAATTCATTTTGGGATCTGATCATTGACCGGGAAACTCGCTGCGAATTGTTGTCGCATGTCGCACTTTTTGTGATTTATCGCATTTAGTTAATATTCAATTGTAGATAACCACAAACACATACAGATATATATATATATATGTATGAATATATTAAACAGATGAATTATAATACAATATACTCAGTCTCATTTTGTAGATTTAGCAAACTAGGTATTGTTTGGACTCGGAAGGTTGTGTAAAACCTAAGTACGTAGTGCTTGTCGAAGTCTCAAGCGGTGATATAACTCTCCCTCCCTCCCTCCCTCCCTCTCTCTCCCTCTCTCTCTCTCTCTGTCTCAGTCTCGCCGTGTATTGTAGCATTCGGAAACAAAAGAGTCTTTATTCACTCGCAAATTGGCCACAAAACATATGGAAACAGTTGTGCAATTAAATTGCAGCTGTGGGAGAGAGTATATATCATTGTCTCTGGCATCGGCGTTTTATTTTTGACGCTAACAAAACGGAACCGATAGTTTAATAAAAGTTTAATGCATTCAACTCTGGTCCAATTACAGTCCACTAGCTGCTAGCAAATAATCGTGATTTCATTAGCGAAACACCGCGACATTAGTATCGGATTCCAGATCAATTAAAAATAAATGAAATAAAAGTTTTAATACGTGTATAACCACACTTATGTCTGGCTATGACTCAGATCGGATATAATTGAAAGTTGAAAAATTAACTCGCAAATTGGCTGTCGACAGTTGAAATTGACTTTATCTTGATTATAACTATCACTATGATCACTATCATAAGAAAGATAAGCTTAAAATACGACATACGTATCTCCGGCGATCTGATATGGAAACATTATAGAATGAATATAGTATGTATATCTACTGATAAATTATTCCTTTATATATTTCAAAAAATTAAACAAGCATTTAATTGGTTAATAAGATTAAAATTCGGGTAAAGTAAAATAAAATTGCAAGACGGATTAGCAGCTGATTTATAAAGATACATTTATTGTGCGTCGAACAAGCTATTTCTTAAGTAAAGTCGATGGATAGTCCCAGATTTATACAAAAATTGGTTACTTGAACTCTGTTGCATTGTGGAATTGGGCGGACTTCCTTGCCATGAAAACGAAAACATGAATGTGCTTTAGAGATATGTGAAACGCCCAAAAAACTAAGGCCGTTCCATTGTTTTCGATGAATAACTTGCTGAACAAATATTTAAGCGGGTGTAATGGACTTCTCAATAATTACTGCGGCAGCGATGACAAATAGACGCCAGTTGGTACGTGGTTGGCATTTTCGAATAGTTATCCCAAGTACGTACTCATGCAGATGTATGTCATACATATTTTAATAACGCTTCCGATTCCGGCTAAGTCATGCAAAATACATAAGCATAACCAATTCCGGCTCAAGTTCTGGATAATTCACACAAAATGCATTAAACTACAAAGCCAAGCCCATCAAGACTTTCGGCTAGATTTGCAAATCGCAACTGAAACAATTATTTCGATTAAGCTAAATGGGATGATTAATGGGTTCATTGCATTACGATACCCTCTTCTAAAAGATCTTTCTTCCAGCAGTTCACTATATACTAAACTATATATGTTCCACGTTGGACGAATCTCGGTATATAAAACTGTTTGTCCTGACTGACTGATTGACCGACTGATGTGATTGATGGTGATCAATGCACAGCTTAAGCCGTAATTGCTAGAAAGCTGTGATGGAGATTCACTCTCGAGACAGACCTTAAACTTATTTTCAAAGATATTTGTTCAAATTAATTTGAGAGTTGCTTCGCACTTTTTGGAAAATCCCTCTTTGGTGGAAACGGGGGTGAAATGGAGTTCAATACTTCCTCGGTGGAAAATAATAATACATAAAGTCTTGATAGATATGTGTTTCAGCGATTTTAGGAATTTCACCCGCAAATGTGGAAGTTAAGTGGAAACTATACAACTGTTTTCTCTACCATTGGAACGGCTTCAAACTTATTTTTAAAGGTCTCTGCGAAAATTTATTTGTTAGATTTTTAGTAAAATTCACCAGTCTTGAATGGTTAAGTGAATGAAAGTTTATTTTTGGGTTGTAAGATTCTCACAACACAAGACTAACATGAGCGGAAACCGTTTGAATTTCAATTTTAGGGACCACTCGGAACTGGGCTGGATAGAGAAGTTATAGCCTAGATTTTAAGCACAAAACTTGCCCCGGATAAGGCCGGGGAGTACTCGCAAGTTAACTAAATAAGAATATAAGGGTAATATGATATAAATGTTAGATTGCAGCACACATTACTGAGTATATTCGTTTCATTCGTAAATCAATTAGAAGTTACTTTAGCTAGAACAAATCCATATCTTAGATCTTAGCAACTCCATTGTTTTGCTTTGGGCAAAAATTTTTTAAATAACATTGGCATTTTGTGTGATTAATAAATCAAAAAAGTGCAACAATAAAAATGAATATCACTTGATCGTCATGTCTAGTTTTTAAATTATAAACTTTGTTGCATAGATTGCGATTATATTTCCATTAATTTTGTGCCTTAGCGTCGAGTGTGACGTCTTTCTACGCATGACCAATAAATCGTTTGGCATATTCTCAAATTACAATTTCGAGCAAACATTTGTGTAGAGGTCTGACA